GGAGTCGTAGATGTTTTCAATGCTAGTGTTGATCCAGCTGAGTATCTCAATGGATTGGAAAAGGCACTGGCTCAATTCACATCGACCTCCCGAACCTCGAGCACCATCAATGACAAGAGACGGGGATCCTTCGACTGCACACTGCAATAAAAGGGTCATGAAGCTCATCCACGCAATCCCCGGATATGATTCGCTGGCCAATTTCTGCTGCCTCACGGACTGGGAGAAGGATCAGGTATTCTCTCATTATCGCAGGAAGAACAACATCACAGGGGGTGACGCCAGCATGGGCACTGATGCCGATGCCAAGCCAGGTGACGAGTCGTCGGCTCACCTTGGGGAGGAGGAAGCTGATGAGCCAGCGAACGACCCCACCGATGTGGTCAGGGACTCAGAGAATTCCGGGAAACAACAACTTTTGGATGCGTTGGGAAAACTCTTCCCCGTCTCTGAGGATGTCAACGTGTGCTTGTATTGTGGTAGCACCCAACATGGCCATCTTGAATGTGAACATGAGAAGAGAGATGAAGTCAGAAAAGTGCTAAAGGCCGTCCGAGCGTCGCTCGAGGCTGATAGTCCTACATCTGATGACGTCGATATGGAGCCTCCTGAGCACAAGAAGGACGGTTCAGGTGCTACTGATGGGTCGGGGCAAACGGATGAACCCACAAAATCGAGGTTTGGTGAACACCAATGGTACGACAGCATCAGAACTATGTCTGAAGTTGGTGACCTCGATGAGTATGGCAGATTCTGCATAGAAGGACGTGATGTGACAAAGCTAGGACCACAGAACATTGTTGACCTCAACGAAGTGGTCAGAGACGCTATTGTCAGAGGAGGAGGTGACTCTTGGTCAGTGCCAGACTTTATGGCAAGCTACTCTGATAACAACACCAGGAAGCCCTTCTACAAGAGAGTCGAGGCGCCGCAAGATGGTTTCTTGAAAATCATCCCGACCACGGGGGCCCATTTCTTCAACTGCTCTTACTTTGGCGGTGTAGAGTATGCGGCCAACTACCGATTCGAGACTGGCAACCGACTCAATACCTACGAGGACAAGGTGAGTACATCACTAAACAGGATCCTGCGGCACAACATGGGGAAGGTATCAGAACAACAGAGTCTGTCATGTGATGACGCCGGCTGGGTGCCCATCGAGGAGGTGCTCAAATGTGAGTCCATCTGGAGGCACGAGTACGCACGCTGGCCACATGTATTCCTTGCTCCAAAAGGAAGAGCAAATGATCAGAGTGCATGGAATGTCGATGAGGCAAACTACCGCATGACGTTGCTCTTCAAGATTATGTTCCACTGTGCCCGGTATGGACGTCGTGTTCGTGAACAAGTGTTGGCATTTGGTATCAACAAGGACATCGAGCGCACCAGCCTGACGTGCATTGACAACAAAGTCGATGCGAACACGAACATTCCTGATGAAGGTCTACTGCTCTACCCTGTGGCGGTCCGTGCTCCTACGGGGCACAAAGAAGGATCTTCAAGGGACGACGTCTCATTGCTGTCCTCATTACTTTCACATCCAATCGCGCCCAACACCATTTTGTCGTTACCGGTTTGTTTCCACATCACCAAGAAGACCAACCTTCGAAGCATTTGGAGGCAGGGATTAATTCCAGGAGGTCTTGGAGAAGGTCATCGGATGTTCACGTTCTTCAACCCGTATGTGCCATGGGATCACAGATCATGGACTATCACGAAGAGCGTTGATACGCGGAAGGGGGACTACATTTGCTTGTTCATCCCGACCGAGACCTTGATGGTGGAATATGGCGGTCGACTGACTGACTCGGGACAGATCGTCTCACCAAAGATCATCCCGTTCTCGGCAATCAAAGGAGGATGGATTCAGGACCCAAAGGACCAAAATAATAAGACATGGCTCCGGTTGTTCGTCCCGTCGGGCGACGACCAGGTAGTCCGGTCTGGAACGGTCAAATCAAGAACGGTAGCCACCAAGGAGTCCATCTTGAGGGTTGCAAGTCAATGCATCGACGCCGAAGATCAACCGTTTGACGAAACCGCCATGGATGCCATGAACATCGTCAACCAATTCAAGAACGACCTCATCAAGCCTGGCGGACAAGAACAATACCTGGCTCGCATCAAGCTGATTGACTACATAGTCGAACGCAAAAGGGTGCAAACATCAGGTTGCCGCCATTGTCCTCACTGTCTCAATGAGACGCCGACAAAACTAGCGGTGTGTCTAGTTTGCTGGACGGAACTGGAAAGTTGTGGAATCCGTCCCTATCGGCTACAAGCTCCTGAAGACGATGAAGATGAGGCCACGAAGAAAGAGATCGATGAAGAAGTTCGTCGACAAGAAGAATCGTTGTTCAAGGATACGGTCCATCAAGCACAAGAAAACGTATCCGAATCCAACGACTATGGCTTCAATCCCGACGAAGTCGATTACAACGAAGGCGATGATGAAGAAATGGATCAGGAGGAGGAAGCCCAACAGGAAGACGACGAAATCGTTGAAGAAGACGACGATGAAATGGAAGTCGAACCTGAAGATGAATCCTCTACCAAGCTTCCAGCATGGACCAAGAACCTCGAGAGCGGCAGCAAGGGTATGCCAGAAGACGGACTTATCAACAACGATGTCTCCGAGGCCGCGGCTCACTTGTATGACAATGCTGTCATGTCAAAGGTCATCACAATGTTCAGGCTCTACTACAAACAGAGAGTCACTCTGACCCCAGAGGAGTACTATGAGATGATGACGGAAACCAAGCGAGTCCGGCTGGACCTGGACGACTTCTGTCCTTATACAGGAGAAGACCAGGATGGCAACCTCAAGCGACCGACGGAGCTGGAATTGGATGAACTATTTCAGCAGAAAGGGAAGAGGAATTCATGGTCAGAAGGAGAGAAGTTATACTCAGGGCGACCAAGAAACATGATGATGCCTGTCATCAAGACTTTAGAGATCTATGAAAAGATGATGGAATTTCTGGTACGTGCTGGGTACACTCCTGAGTCATTAGGCTTTCTCATGCCAATGAACCGAATGCAGGCTGATGCCCAAGGGAAACAGGAGATGCGAGTAACCATCAGCAATTTCCTTCGACGACTGCTCAAAGGAACCTTTCCGGAGCACGAGTCATACACCTTCTTTCGCTCCGGGAGCCACGGCTTCCCCAACTGCATCGAACTCCCAGCCTTCTCGGTATATCTGAGCCTGAGGGAGAAAGAACAGAGAGTAGAACTGCTCTTTGCAGCCCAACAGTGTGGCATTCCTTTACCTCAAAACTTTGTCAGCAAGATGGCTTATGCTATTCAGCTGGCCGAGGCCGAGGCGCAGAGGGGAAAGACCGAAATGAAAGCGAAGATGGCTCCAACCCTTGGCGACGAAGTGGTGAGTGAAGTATTCAAAGCGGTTGGACATACTGCAGCTTCTAAGTTTGCTAAACCAACTGCGCAACCTTCACAGACACCTGAAGGCACTGGTTCAGCATCATCCTCATCGGCTAGTGCACCAAAGGGCAAGGCTATGCCGAAATCCCATGAACCATCAAAGGCACCGCCTGCAAAGCCTTCATCGCCGAAAGCTGCTCCGAAACGTGCGGCAGGATGGGAGAGAACTCCAACAGCACCTCAATGGAAGAAAGTCCGCCGTGAGCAGTAAACCAATTACTTCGATCCGTAAAATGATCACTGGAATATGAGATGTGTATCGTCTTTGTGAACAGATGATCAGGAAAGGATCAACTGAGTGGACTCTGAGCGAGGCAGTAGACTAATTCGCTTAGGTTCAAGATTTTTGATATTCCCAATCTGCACGAATTCTGCACTGTGCACGTGAATTCGTTAGTTAGCATTGTAAATCTTTAGTAGCGAAGCGATCCATTTCTCCCGACGGGTGAGTGGTATGCCTAGCCAACGTAGAAAAGTAGATGTTAGCTAGCAATAATTCGCGTTGTACAGCTTGATGATGCGCCGAAGCATCGACAGCCAGAGAGTAGGCGAACCCTGAACCATTATTCCCGACGGGTATGTGGGGAAGGGGGAGCCGAATGGCACGTTTTATGCACATAGGCGTAATTCAAGTAGCAGAAACCAATCTAATTCAAAGTTCCCTCTCTCGTGTCCGTGGTTCGAAGAATACCACGGGCATGGGGGGTGTCAAAGGGAACACAGCGGTAGCACATGTAACAATGAACAATGTTACGGCCATCATGGCTCAAGCGCCCGCAAGAGGAAAACGGCCGTGCGCTGACTGCAATGCCTGAGTGAGGTTCGGTAATAACTAGCACACAAGGTACTACCATTCGACTACATCCAGAACAAGGATTCATTTGTTCACAGATACATATGTATACATATTATATATATATATGATTATATGTATATATATATATATACACATGTTTTTTTTTTGTAATATATATATATGTCTGGTTGGTGGTTTGAAACATGACTTTTATTTTTCCCATCATATCGGGAATGTCATCATCCCATTTGACTTTCACATGTTTCAGAGGGGGGTGAAAGCACCAACCAGATGTGTATACATGGTGTTTTTTTCTAATATGCCATGATGATACTGTACCTCTCTTGCATGGGGATGTCATCTGAAAGCAGATCTGAATGGCCAGTACCAACCGAAATACGGTATCACATATACAATGGCTGTAGGTTTAAAACCCCATATTTGTTACTGAAACCGGAATTAACATCGTTTCATCAGATGTTTGTTCTTGTTTATCTTATTAAATCAATATTTATCTTTGTCAAACCCCATTAACTCACCATGTTTCTTGCTTAAAGCACATGAATTTCCCCCCGTTTGTTCCCATTAAATCACAATTTTCCTGGTCAAAACTCATTCATCACCATTTGTCTTTGTCAAGTCCCATTGAAACATCATTTTTCTTTGCTAAGTCCCATTAATGAATCAGCATTTTTGTTGGTTAAATCCCATGAAAATCACCACGTTGGTTAGTTACATGTAGGTTTCTCAGCATGACGTCATGTGGTTTGTGCACAACGAGGAGACCTACGTCTCCGACGTCGCCAGCGCTGGGGCAGAGCCAGTGAGGTTCGACGACTTCTGCGGTCGATGGGAGGAAGTCATTCAGGAAGCTGGGTGGAGGGGTGGAGGGGTGGAGAGGAGGACTTAGATTCTTGGAATATTCGATGACATGGATATACCATGATATACCATAATTATATTTAAAAAACGTATATTCATGTATATCCCATTATAAAGTAGCATGCATAAACAAAACATATGGTACTTCGAATATCTAAGCGTTAGGCTGGGTGGGGTATCTCCAAAACATTCAAAACCTTCACTTTTTTAGGGACAAAACACAACAACGTATCTACCCATCCGAGTTGGCTCACTTTGCCGCACGATTATTTTGCCATTCGAGGGGTACCAAGACGCTCACTGTACCCACAAAAAAACGCCCACACGTATCAAAACGCATGATGGAGCAAAATAAATGTTTGCTGGGTCAATGGAGCATTTAGGTAATGACAATACAATGGTAATATATAGACAATCAATGGCCATGTCAGGAACCTAAATTGGAGGTACCTACCATATATAAGGCCTATTTTTTAGGCCTAAATTTCAAGGAATATCCCCATAAAATATGGCCAACAATATGGTACGTTTACGTACCTCCATTCAATCGGATCCTGAAATTCCCATTGTATAGTTGATGGAAAATGAACGAACATGAACATACCCTCCAGTAAACTAACATAGGCATTACCTATTAAAATGATGATGTTCCATAGTTGTCAATAAGACAATTTTTCGGCTTTGTCAAGCATTTGTTTGGTGGGGTGCATCTAATTTTTATTGTGCAGTAAGTGAACTAAACAACATTTGATAACCATATGACCATTAATGACATATGGATTTAAGCAGCCAAACATATCCAATTTCAGGGTTTTTAATGCGATGAGAAAGTATAAATTTTCATTGTACAGTGGGAGACACAATAGTGTTGTGGGTTCTGTTTTCACTTTTTTTTGTAGCACCAACAATCATTTTGAGAAGACTTCCTCAACCACATTGTTGCGGGCATTATCTTTTGGTGGAGTTGACCAAAAGCAAAGCACACACACACACACGGGTTTTTGAGGATACATCCCAGTTGGTATGTGGATAGACCAATTTACTTTGGGGAAACAATTGCCAACTGTTATGTGTGTGTGAGCCTGGAGATTTCTGCGCATCGCAGCTTTTAGCTGGTTTATAATTTATAAAATGTTCATGGTCTGGTTAATTTTGATTTTCTATTTGGTAATCTAATATAGCAATGTAAAATCCATCATTGATGCCGTCCCATTCCAACCTCCATCGAAAAAAAGGGGATTTTCCAGCCATGTTTGAATGCCAAAGGGTAGATAATCGGGATAGCCCTGGGTCATTGTGACGGCCAGTGGCATTCAATTGGGAGAGACGCCTCTAATGGACATGATTGATGTATTTGGGATTGACCACCCGCCAGTGATGTTCTTTGCTTTATGAAGCCGATTTACTATAGTTATATCTACCATGAACCCAAGTTATTGTAGTTATGAACCAACTTAGCTAAACTATGGGGCACCACCTTGTAGGATAGTACCATCTTACAAACTGGTCATGTGAATGGAAATGCTAAATCCTGTTGGACAACTGAAAACTGGGATACTTGTGATGACGGTCGGATTTGTGAACTACAATATAATATGATATAATTCCTAATAATATATATATATATATATAAAATCCATATAATATACTATCATCCATAATGTTCATAATTATTTTATTATTCATCATATGTTATTTCAAAACCCGTTGGCTATTGAGGGATCTCATGGGTCTCAACTCCCAGTTTGTGGCGACTGAAAATGGTGAAACTTAACTTCTTATATGACCACTTGTTGGGTACCTGGGAAACAACCAGGTTCTCACCAAGTCTGCCCTACATGTATGTGTTTTGTGTCTAATTCTCCAATGGTATGTCGACTTATTTTTGTCTGTTCTATTTCACCACTTATGTTTTGGTTTGGCCGTCTTTATTTTTAACCAGAATATTCTATTCATATTAGCATATCATGAAATATTGTCAATTCCTCTATGATATATCTATATTACTAATGGAATTTATCTCTACTAACTAATACATAGATACATAGATGGATGGATAGATAGACAGATAGAAAAATAATGCATATCTATCCATTAGTTCTCACTCCTTTTGTGACGGAGCGGCTTAAGGAGGACGAAGAATGGCTGCAAAGCCAGGGCTATTCACAGCCTGCCTTTGATGCTTTGCCTGGGAAAGAGAAGAGCATGGCGCCTCGACCTTTGGATCAGCTGAAAGATGGTGAAGGGATGGGAAATGAACCAAGATTTATGTGATTGTTTAAAGGACCTTCAGGAAATATAGGAAATTAAGCACCAAAGCATGGTGATTCATATCTATCATGTATATTTACCAAAGCATGGTGATTCATATCTATCATGTATATTTTAATCGAAGGAAGTTTAGAAATCAAACTTCCGACAATATGGACAGATGAAAAGCAGAGCAGGGCAGAGGCAGAGAGAAGAGAAAGATTAGAAGAGAGAAGAGTAGAAAGAGAAAGAGTCAGAAGAAAGAAGATGCAGATGCGCGAAAAGGTAGGAAAGTCGCGAAACACTGTGTTTTTCCAATGATTTGTGGCTCCGGAGGGTCGAAAAGTAGGCTCGCTAAAGCGGCGGGTGCGGAGCCATCTGGCCAGACGAGAGATGAAAAATTGCACGCTGTTGTGGCGCGAAGCTCGGACCACTTTTGGAAGTTGCGATGTCAAAAAAGTGCACGCCGTTGCGTCGCGAAGCACATTTCGAAGTCAAAATGCACAAAGCACACCATTCTCGGACCACTTTTGGAAGTTGAGATGTCGAAAAAGCGCACGCCGTTGTGGCCCGAAGCACATTTCGAAGTCAAAATGTACAAAGCACACCATGCTCGGACCACTTTTGGAAGCTGAGAAGTCGAAAAAGTGCACGCCGTTGTGGCGCGAAGCACATTTCGAAGTCAAAATGTACAAAACACAACATTGTAGGACCACTTTTGGAAGTTGAGAAGACGAAAAAGTGCACGCCGTTGTGGCGCGAAGCACATTTCGAAGTGAACATGTACAAAACACCACATGTTCGCGCCACTTTTGGATGCTCAGATGTCGTTCCGCGTGGCAGGTGCAATGGATTGTCGATCTTGTCGAAAGTGAGCAAAACGTGAGGGTTTTGTAGCATTTCGAAAAACGATGGCAGGCATGGGACTTTTGAAGAGGATCTGCAAAGATGCATTTTCCGTGGCAGGCGCAGTACAAAAGACATGTTCATGAGAGATGCTAGGAGGCCAGGGCGCTCATTTCCTGAGAGAGGTTGCATTTTGGAGCATCAGATCTGTAGGTTTGCTAAGATGATTTTGCGTGACAGGTGCGGCACTTCGTATGACCTGGCATCAATTTTTCGTGGCAGGCGCAGTACTTTAGATAGGTGGAGTGGAAAAATCACAAAACGCATTGGTACGAGGCTCCCAGCGCTGCACTCAACTTTCCATTTTGGAAGGAAGTCTCGCAGAATTGCTTTGTTTTTGACGCTGTTAAGTTCAAACATTGAGGAGGTTGAAAAATTAAAGAAGTGTCGCAGAATTGTTTTGTTTTTGATGTTGTTAAGTTCGAAAAATGAGGAAGTCTCGCAGAAGAGCTTCGTTTTCAATCTGGAAGATAGACAGATAGATAGACAGACAGAGATAGACAGACAGACAGACAGACAGACAGACAGATAGATAAATAGATAGATAGTTACAGCGAGCAGCACTGCAGGGACCGCACAAGGGCGCCACCGCCAAGCTGTCGGCAGCTGTTACGGAAGCTACGGGAAAGTGATGCAATGTGGCTGGGATTGTGCAGGCACTTGGACATTGAAGATACGAAGTTCGTCTTGGCAGTTTTGCTGGAGCACAGTGGGTGGCGAGAGGCCAAGCGGTCGCGCAACGAAGTGCTCCGGAAAGAATACCTTCGGCTGTACGACGAATGTAAGCATTACAGCCCGCAGTGGGAGCACACCGCCATGAAAGAGCGGCGAGAAGGGGCACAGCGCGCAAAGGCGTCCGAGGACGCAGCAACGGATAATAGGTAGACGGATTGATAGATAGATGGATGGATAGATAGATAGATAGATACATTGGTAGAAAGTAAGCTAGATGGATGAATAGATAAATAGATAGGTAGACGGATTGATAGATAGATAAATAGGTAGATAGATGGATAGATAGATAGATAGATAGATAAACAAATAGCTAGAAAACTAGACAGCTAGATAGATAGGTAGATAGATAGATAGGGAGATAGATAGACAGACAGACAGAAAGACAGGCAGACAGACAGACAGATAGATAGATAGATAAACAGATAGATCAGTAGGTAGGTAGGTAGATAATCAGAGAAAGATAGAGAAACAGAGAGAAAAAGAGAGAAAAAGAGAGAAAGAGAGAGAAAGAGAGGAGACCTCAAGCACCTTTCGGTCCATCAGTGGCTTCGCTGTGCCATCCCTGATTCACAACAACCAACCCTCCTATAGGTTTCCTATTTTTGAAACTTCCGCCACCGCCTTGTGCGGTACTACTGGTATAGGATTTTGCTAGCTAAGTTTGTTGAAGGATAAGGGTTCTTGGCCTTCTAGCCTACGGGTTGGCCGAAATAAATCAACAGCCACTGGACCTATGGTCATCTTGGAGCCATCCCCAGGCACTCCCCTGGCATACCCCAGGAACCCAGACTACGCTGAGCAATGTTGGAACTTCGTTTCCTGCTGAGGTTTATCACTTATCGATTGCGTTTTTTTTGGTAAGACTTTTGAAGAATACAGTTGGTGGTGCCCCCCAGTTACGTTTGTTGGTGAAATAGTCCCATTAACTATAGATTCACCTTTTATCACCTATAAACCATAGTTATTGGAGTTATGTTCACCAACTGAACGCGACCTCTTCCGGGGGCACCACCAAGCGTATCAAAGAATAACGAACTGGAGGAATTTGCACCACCAGGTAGCACCCCACATGGATCCCAACACACGAATTGATGTTCACCACGTCATCCGAAGTCATCCTTGGGCTCCATCTTTGTGGAAACATGGAAAACCTGGCAGACCTGGGTCGATCCTATGATGATTTACTGGTGGTTGGGTTCCCCATGGAATGGATTATGGCTGGAATGGATTATGACTTTCCATTCAGTTGGGAATGGCATATTTTAATGGTATATATATATATGGCATATATATATATATATATGGTATATATGGTATATATGGTATATATGGTATATATGGTATATATGGTATATATGGTATATATGGTATATAGGAACAAAATCATCCCAACTGACTTTAACTCCATGATTTTTCAGAGGGTTGGAAGCACCAACCAGATGATTTCTATTGTGAAACCAATATTGCCAAATTCATTGGGGGGAGACCTCCCCAAGTTTTGGACAAATTAAAAACGCATAGCCATATCAAGCTCCAGAACCACCGTGTTTCGCCAGATGCTTCGGATGATGATTTACAGCCTGCCAGCAGGCAGACAGTTGATTGGGCGGCTGGTCACCGGTCACATCAAAGATGTGTTTTTCTCACATTCATGTCTACTATCGAAGTTAATTTGTAATTTCATATATACTGTACTACAGTCGTAGGGTTTGGGGTGATTATATAGACTATACCCTACAACTCCAAACACCTCTTCTGAGACTGTATTTGGAGTTGTTTAACTTGGGGTTTGTTTAAACACCGTCTCAGATGGTATAACTGGAGCACTAGGGATAGTTGGATGGGTTTCTATAGCAATTTTTTCGGGGGCATCACGTTGCATCTCCACTTCCAACCGAGCCCCCATCCAGCATTCGGCTCCCTTTGACTGGTCCAGTAACAACACAGTGCCATGAACTTTCTGTGCGGTTAGTTTAACATACTGCAACCATCATGATAAATGGAGACAGTTATACAAAACCCACTGCCACTAATTCAATCTATAATGAATGTGACATACTATGAAATTTCACCTGAGAAGAGGCTGGTTTCACAGAATGACCTTAGCCTTTGACCCAACATAAAACGCTGCTACGATGGTCATTCTCCGTTTCACTGAGTTGAAAACTGATGTTTTTTTTTGCGGTTTGTCTGAAAGTAGGGTGTCCCCCAAATCCAATGATTTATCATGATTTATCTTTACTTTCCCCAATTTGGTTTTAAGATAGAGTATGCCCAAGTCCTCGGCAAACCCATGATCTAGGCACCCATGTTGCTTGGTTCACCCCCATACGTGTGAACTGGTCAATCTACCAGCAAATATACCATAAATTGGAGGACATCTACTTTCAAATCCACTTTCTAAGCATTAAATCTCATTAAATCTCATTAAATCATATGTTCAATCCCACAAATCCATGGCTGTTGCGCCATATCGCGTAGCCGCCATCACCATACGCCACCATCCCCACCATCGCAGGCTGTTGTCTCGGCCGTCGCTTAGTGAAAAGCTGGAGCCAAGGTTGGTGTCCAGACGTGGCGCCTTGGAGCCTCTGGAGTGGCTGGAGCTCTGCCGGGCGGAGAAGCCAATGGTTGACCATGGTTATCCTACAATGTGGGGCCCCCAAGATAGCGTTCAGTTGGCTTATAACTCCAATAACTAGGGTTTATGGTACTTATAACTATAGTTACTGTAATGGGGTTTATAAACCAACTTATAACTGGAGGGCCCCACATTGTGGGTTTTGTTTGGTCGGTGATTTCTTATTTTAATGGAAAATCCACCATGACTGGGGAATCTATAGTATAGTGCACATTTATTTTTTGGGGCCCCCGAATCAGCAAATCCAAGTTATAGTTTAATCAATATCTATGGTTTAAGATATCCAATGCCTATGCTTAATATAGCTGTTGATAATGAACTTAAATATACCAGAGATACATATAGATTATATACTCTAGTACATAATAGTACCGTAGAGTACCATAGATATTTTAATCTGTTGCTAATGGTAAAATGTACCAACCAGCTAAATATAAGATTGTGTTGGCAGATATTTAAGATTCACCATGGATGGGGGAAAAGCGCCGGTTTTCATGGGATGTTTACCTTTGAGATCATGTGATTTCATGGGATTTAGCCAAGAAATTGGTGATGTCATATGATCTAATGAAGTTTAATCAAAATACGTGATTTATGTTTATTTAATCAACCAAAAATGGGGAATGACTATATGATTTCATGGGTTTCAACTCAACAATCAAACATTGAAATTTACAAAGAGGCTGCCATCACTAGCCGATGTATGTCAGGTGAGGCCCTAAGTCGGTAGATGTTTCCCAAGTCATGGGGATGTCCAATGGCGACCACCACCTCAAGTCGAGAGAATTCACAGCAGTGCTGGAAAGCTCACTATTTTAGATGGGGTTGTACTATTCAAAATATTCATCCATGATGGGAAATGCTCTGGACCTCTATGAACCAATGTAAAAATTGGTGGCGGTCTGGTTAAGTAACGGGAGAGTCCCAGATGATGGTTTTTGGGGCCATGCACCTGAATCGTTAGTGTACTGGAGCTCCTGCAACCGTTTTCGGATAATTTGTTTCCAAATAAACTTGGGAAAGATTTGAAACGACCCTTCGACCAAGTTTTTCATGCTTGCGAAGCTTTTGAATGTTGCCTTACATGATGAAATCAGCTTTGGGATGTATTTGATATTCAGTGATGCAGCCGAATCGATAGTGACAGTCTATATTATCCCCTGATTTATAGATGATTTTTCAATCTCAGTCTATGTATCGAATCATCCTCCGTTGTTTCATCCGGAATCCGGATATAGACTTTTGGGTGTGGGCCGAGATGGGTAAGTTCGTTTACAAGTTGCAACTTATGTGTATATATATATATACAAGGTGGTGCCCCCCAAGTTATAAGTTGGTTTATAATCCCATGGCAACTAGTTCGATATATCTACCATAAGTCCAAACGTGAAATTTAGAGTTATTTGCACCAACTGAACGCTATCGACCGGGGGCACCACCTTGTACCATAGAATCCATGGTGCTGCTATATATAGTAACATGGATCCCATCCATATACCCCAAATGTTAGCATATATACCATACATGGATCCTATCGGTTATATCAACAAAAATCATTTACTGTGCTCAGGCCATCTTGGTTGATCACTGAGATATCACGGGTTTTGTCTTATATGATACCCCCAACAAAACAAGATGTCAAAAAGGTTGGAATCCTGGAAAACATCTGTGAAACATCTCTAACATCCAAACGAGCATCCATTCTGGAAAGACTTTGTGGCATCTTTTGGGGGTTACAATATTTATATATATATATATGTATGTATGTATGTATATATATATAATATTATGTATATATATATATATATTATATTCAGGTTGTACAGGATGATGCCCCTCAGTGATGTGAATGTTGGTTTATAAACCCCATGAATACTAGTTGGTTATATCTACCGTAAACCATAGGTTTTTCCGCCACAGCCATATCTCAACTGAACGCGAGCTCGACTGGGGGCCCCATCCTGTGGGGAATCATCTTCAGGTGTTGTACAACGTAATGCTGCTGCACCCCTTCTTGGCGGCCAAACAACTCGGCATCAGAACTGCATCCTTCTCGACCTATCCCGGGCCAGGCTGGGCGGACCCAGGCTTTTAAGGAAAGGTCGGTATCCCCAGTTTTGAATGGACAGGGCACCATGAAAAAAGGCTGGTTTAACCATCAAGATTCCATCAAGAAACGGTGATTTCACGAGATTGAATGGGAATTTACGCTTTGGTAATTTAACACTTGCTTTGGAAAATCACTATCTAGAAAGGTAAATCAGCTGGGTCATGTTCAGTAGCTATGTTAAATCGCCGGTCAAAAAGGTTGGATGAAGTTTGAGGAATCCACCACGTTTGGGTCTTGTCAATTATCCTTGTGAATGTTCACTGCTAGATATGTAATACTGGTTGGTGGTTTGGAACATTTTTTATTTTTCCATATATTGGGAATAATCATCCCAATTGACTAAGAATTTTCAGAGGGGTTGAAACCACCAACCAGAATATGTTTTTTTGGTTTGCACCATGTTTCAGACTCATCCAGATTGACTGGGCATGGCCATGTGGTAGACGAAACCAGTTGTTCCTAAGTCCTCTGGTTCAACCCAGTGAAGTTCGTTGGCTTATACACCCCGCAAGGTGGGCCCCCCCAGTTATAAATTGGGTTATAAACCCCATTAACTATAGTTATAAGTACCATAAACCATAGTTATTGGAATTATGTTCACCAACTTAGCAATCTTGGGGGTCCCACATTGTAGGCAACCCAAAGGCTAACTTAGACCCGCGTCAACTTAGCTATCACAAATCAGTTGTAAATCCCTTCAAATCACCATGTTTCTCGGCAGAATTCACATGGTTCCTACATGTTTCATCATGTTTCGTCATCTACAAAGTGGGGCCACTAAACGATAGCTAAGTTGATGGACATAACTCCAATTTCACTATGGTTTATGATACTTATCACTAATATAGATTGATATAGGGTTTATAAACCAACTTATAACTAGGGGGTACCATCCTGTACATGTTTCTATGGTTTCGTCACCTACACCACCCATTGGTTCGCACCAGGAACTCCGATGCACCTCTACGCCCAGAAGTTCGAGGAACGGGAAGCCTTTGACGAAGAGATGGCGCAGCACCCCTCCCTGGTTCCAGCAGCTCCAGCTTTGGGTTTTCTGGATGGGAATGGGTTTTATGGAAGATGAATGATGGGATTTTTAATGGTTATAGTTATTAATATATATATATATAGTTATTAATGGTTATTAATGGTTAATGTCAAGCCCGGATTTTGCTAAACCATGGTTTATTAACAAAAAGGGGGTACTCCAATAGTCATAATTAATCTAATACAATTTTTATGGTACCCTCCCAATTAAACCATTGTTTGGGGTTTATTAATCCAGGGTTGAGATGATCGAAGATGAATGATGGGATTTTCTGGAAAATTTACTGGACATACTAACACAATAGCAGTGGCTGCGATCTAGCCCTGTTGGTTGATAGGGGATGAAAATCTACCCTTTGTATATTCAATGGGAATTTCAGGAACCTAAATTGGAGGTACCTACCATATATAAGGCCTATGTAAGGCCTATGTAACGGGATATCCCCAGCAAAATATGGCCTTATATGGTATACCTCCATTTTAGGATCCTGGAATTCCCATTGATATATTGGAGATTATAATTTAATCCAATAGGGAAATCACCATAAATGAACCAGGTTCAAATGCAATGATAGAGCGATTTTTTAAACACTGCTCAAATGATTATTTGACGAAACTTCGAAATGCAAAGGGATTTAGCCGCATATGTTGACTATTTCACCGAGAACCTCAAGGTGTTGCATCATAACTTATTGCGATTCCGAACTAGGACACCACCTCCATCCAGCACACCTCAAGATGGACAACATAAATATCTTAGAGATGTTGCAGATATTGATAGATGCTACAGGTACAATGTGGGGCCCCCAAGATAGCTAAGTTGGTGAACATAACTCCAATAACTATGGTTTATGGTACGTAAATAACTATAGTTAATGGGGTTTATAAACCAACTTAGCTATCTTGGGGGCCCCACATTGTAAGGACTATTGCTGTTTACTAAGCTCTGTCCAAGTTGTCCAACTTGTGAAACCAAGCCTGGCAGGGCAGCGATTTTCTCAATATCTTTTGTGCGATATGCGAATCGGGAGGTCAACTGAAAAGGTTTCAAATTGCTCTTCAGCAACTCTGGAAATCAAATGAAATCAAAGCCCTATGATGAAAATGCACACAACAAATGGGTATGTGTTTTTGTTTTGACATGCTTTCAACCAACCATTTATGCTCATGAAATTCAGGAACGCCAAATGAGGCCATATAAGTCAGCCGCATCAAGTGGAATGATAAATGAAATCATGGGATCTGAAGCACCAGGTGCCTGGCTGCCGGATCGACAATTCTCATGGATGTTTTTGTTGATGCGAAGTGAGTCACCTCATGCTACCATCAAGTCCCAATGAAATGCTTGGTTATATCATCATGAAATGCCATCCAATCACCATTTTTTGCTGATTAAGTCCTATTAAAATCATTAAATCACAATGTTCCTTGTTTAAAATTCATAAAATCACCAATGTTGATGATCAAGTTCCACTAAATCACCGATGTTGATAATCTATCACCCCATGAAATCAGTATGCTTCACATTAAAAAGCCCATTCAACCAGCCATTCTTCTATATTTTTTTCTTGGTGAAATCCTCATTGTTCAGATGAACATCCCATTAAACCAGCATTTTTCTTGGTTAAATCCAGTGAAATCCCCGAAATCGCCAGGTTTTTTTGGGGTGAAGTCCCTGGGCGAAGTCCCTGGGTCGCCCAAGGCCAATGACATCGCCCTGAAAGTCTTCGGAATCGATGTGCTGAAGAGCCAGCTGTCCCTTGACCATATCAATCTGGACCATATGAATCCATTATGAACCATAAAGTGACCATATAAAGTGACCATATATGAATCTATAGGTATATTAATCTTATTATATATATATATATTTATTGATCTATAGGTATATTAATCCATTATTATATTAACAATAAAGTGCCCATATTAATCTATTAATCTATTTCATGGATTCATATACCTAAAGTAACACAGGTTTAATGATGGTTAATGATGGTTAAACATGGTTAATAAGGGTTAATTATGGTTAACCTTGGGGATTTGAGGGGAACGGGTAAATCACCATTTTTTTAGTTCGGTAAATCATCTATTTCGATTAGGGCCATCTATACCATGGCTATGTTAGTCATAACCAGAGGGTAAATCACCACTGGTTGGCGGTTTGGAACATGACTTTTATTTTTCCATTTCATATATGGGATGTCATCCTAAACCCAACTAACGAACTCCATGATTTTTCAGAGGGGTAGGCTCAACCACCAACCAGTTAGGGATTTGAGAGCAACATGGTGATGAATTGAGGGGAATTGAGGGTAAAAATGGTGGGATTTCGTGATTTGATGGGATTTTACTAAGCAAAAATGGGTGATTTGTTGGTAACAAAAAACCACGTTTAAAATGGGTGGATTTCTATGGGAGGAATTGATCCATGGATCATCCGCAAGCCGTCCATCGGGCGAGGCAATGCCGCTTCTTTAGTGATGAGGCGAACATTGTGTCCCTGGCCCGAGATTCGGGGGAGAGTTGGGTGAATTTTTACTCACTTTATGGGGAACATTGGCAATTTATGGGATTTACATTTGTTTTACTGAGAGATATTCGTGGAATGGGATTTGATTTGGACTTGTCTGTGATTTTCGTGGGATCATTGATGGGGAATTTCATGCAGATACAGTGGGACCATCTTCATGATCACTTTGCGGATACGGCGGACCCGGTTTTTTGGGCAAAAAACACCTTCGCAAACGGGCAAAAACCTGGGAAAGGACAGGTGAATGGTCTTCATATTATGTGTGTTTAAAGTTTCGTCAACTTTGGGTGGAAGAAGTACTGTAGATCTACACTAGATGATCAACCCATTGTGGGTTACTTAGATGGGCCATGGGATTTTGCAGATTCCTGGTTAGTAACTGGGGATTAACTAAGCCTCAAAAAATCCCAATGAAATAACCCACGGCTACTAACTAGTTATACAACTAACTCCATGGCCCATCTAAGTAGTTGTTGTCCCCTTTTTCGGAGAATCATCCCCAGATCGAGACATTTGGTCCTCACCAGGCATCGTTTTTGACAAACGTCCGGACGTTTGGGATGGACCTGGTAACGACAGCTGCGATGGGAAAAAACCCGGCGGAGGGCCACTTTAGTGCGTTATTTTTTCGAAAATTGCGGGGATAGATATCCCATAGCACAGCAGCCAGCTTCACTTTGACCTGCAGTGAACGAGCAAAATTGTGAGCTAGGCCATGTAGATATGATTATATAGTTGTATATATATATATTATGTATATATTATATGTATATATTATATGTATATATTATATGTATATATCGCAATTTTCTATGATGGAATCCCAGCACGTGTTCATTTTTCCTGTCCCTGATCTGTCCATGTTTTTGTTCGCCTTCATAGGTTCAACATTCCTCAACTTCAAGGTCCAGTGAACGAGTACCAGCCGCTGTGGCAGCATTGATCGAAATCTGGGGCTTTACTTTTCCCCACTATCCTTAGGCGCTACATGCTAGTACTACATGTTAAGTAAGTATGTCAAATAAGTTAAGTATGTTAAGTACAAGCATGAACTGATCTTAAGCTAGTTGGGAAGAGTATGAGTGTAGCTACAATACTATAACTGGCCTCACCCGGATGCCTCAGATATACAGCGTAACAGGAGGATCACCGTGCCACATTTCTTTTCTGAACAACATGAAAGAAAATTTTGGAGTTCCCCATCATTCCCTAACATGGCATGGTGGTTGACAACTGCACACTACCTAGATGGGCATTTGGGTTAGTTATTCCCTTGGGTGAGGCCCCCCAATTGATATGAACGTTGGTTTAGCTTCACCCGATGAATACGTGAGAATATCCCCTACATTCTCTGTGTTGTGGGACTTACAACTCCAGTGATGTTTGTTGGTTTAGATTCACCCCATGGTCAAATAATAATGTTATATATCTATATATATATATGTATTAATACATCTCCCCTAAACCGTTCTCCAAGCTGTATATGAGTCAACCTATAGAGATGAACCCGGAGCCTCACCTTGTAACAAAGATTCGCACGGAAACGTGGGATACAGCTGCCATGTTGGAAGAGAAACCGGCTGGGCAACATCCATTTACCAATTGATAAGTGTAATTCCATGGCCCATGATGACAGATATCAACCAATCGCCCCCACCATTCCCGATTGTATCTCACATTAACCAATTATAAACAAGTGAAAGTAAGAATTGCATTACAACCACTTATCCCAATGATATCCCCAATTACCACATTACCCTCCTATAGTCAAACATCACACGTAAGAACCTGTAGTCAAACATCACACGTAAGAAGATCATCAATTTACCGATGATTTTCCCATGAAAACCATCCATTTAGCGTGAGGATTTCCAGCAAGCCAGGGATGATTCGTAAGGGGAATGATCATGAATCCCAACCAACGGCCGAACGTTTCAGGTTCGTGAATTATTATAAAAAATGAGCCAGAACTCATTCAGATCCCATAAAATTCGATTAAGTATTGATTTAACATCCATTAAACATCAATGAACATCCATTAAGATCTACCGCTAACATCCATGTTTGCTTGTCTCAAGGCAACGCCGCTTGGAGGGTTCCACCTTTCACTGGGTGGGCAGCACCGATCCACAGCTCAGCTGCTTAGATGAACCGTCGGGGTTCAGGGGCGGGGAGCCGCAGGAGGGGTTTCTGCTGCTTGGAATGATTGTGGATATTTGTTGATATTGGGATATGATTTATATCTATCTATAATATAATACATTATATATATATGCACATATATGGGCTTTGAGATCTGATGGGCTGAATGAGGGTTCCAGTTGAGATGAATTCGGAGGGTTCCATGAAACCGGTTTAGGATTGAAACCAATAGTGGTACCCCCACTTCAGGAAACCTACATATATAGTGCCTCCCCCGAAAAAAAAATCCAGCCAGTGAATTCTCTCCTGCTCTTCAATGTGATTTGATGATTTGTTTGTTCTTAACAATCTGACGTGCAAACGCTTTAGTTTTTGCTGTTTGATTCGTGCTGATGGAGGTTTTCCTTGGCAGTTGGATGGGTGTTCACTTTGGCATCCCTAGGAGATGATCGAAAAATACATTGGAATCCCAGGGACGTTGGCTTGCGGAGCATTGAGTCAAGTTTCCAATGTGTTATGTATCTGACATGCGGTAGATGTCCTTTGTCACAAGTACTGACCAACTGGCTTAAAGAATCCCAGTGATGTTTGTTGGTTTAGCCTGAGATCCCTGATAGAGCCGATGTTTGTCATTACAAGGTGGTGCCCCCCAAGTTATAAGTTGGTTTATAATCCCATTAACTAGTTCGATATATCTACCATAAGTCCAAACGTGAAATTAGAGTTATGTTTACCAACTGAACGCTATCGACTGGGGGCACCACCTTGTAACGATGAATTTTTGGAAGATGTGGAATCTCAAGCAAATGGTTTCATCATGCTTCATCCAACCCCAACTGATCAACTGATCACCCAATCAACTGGTGAAATCAGGTGGCTTGGCTCCTCGAGTGGAGCCGGAGTTGGCACCATGGCTGCAGGCCGATGGCTTTGAATAGAACTGTACCTGAAAAATAATTATAATAGGTCAATCTTACATGGGTAGAAACTAATCCTAACTAGTCTTTTGGTAACAATGGGATTATCTACTAACCATGCAACTAGTAATTTAATTGTTCGCAGGGTATCCAAGATTGGCCATGTAACATTGACAATTCCAATCATGTGACATAGATAATTAGTCCAACAGGTAATAGACCATGGGTGATAATTGATATGATAAATATATGATATATGAATTATAATTTGAATTATATAACTCCATATAATTCCAATAGATGTGGCTATCATTATAGATAATGCTGGTTGATAATGATACCTTCATATCTATAATAACAAGAATAGATGTGGGTTTGCATCAAAATCATGATGGTATTCATGCATAATTTGGGTCAAGCTGAAACATTGGTTGGGAGATCAATGTTTGGAAAGCCATTGAAGAATTCGAAGATGATTGGTTTGACAATCCATTGCTTTTGGAACGAAGTTTTCGCCACTCAATGGCATGTGCATGAAAAAATGGTGTCTGAAAATGGGTTACCCCTAAGTTTTGATAGTCTCATGTAGTTTATCACCATTTTTTGGTCGAAAAGTTGCCATTCAGGTGATATACATCATCTGGTTGGTGGTTTGGAACATTTTTTATTTTCCCCAATAGTTGGGATGATGATCCAATCTGACTAATATTTTTCAAGGGGGTTGAAACCACCAATTAGTCATTGTTATTCATGTTTAGGCACACCCGCATGGCTTATACATTGGGGGTATCTTTTGACTTCAAGCCAGTCGCCATGCCGAGTCCCGAGAGTTGTTGACCTGAAAACATTCAAACACGAGCAACAAACATGTTGATGTTATTTTATCAGATTTTTTGTAAAATTTCTCAAGAATCAGTGCATAACAATGCTACAATGTGGGCCTCCCCAGCTATAAATTGGTTTATAAACCCCACTAAGTATAATTAAGTATATTAGTTATATCTACCATAAACCATAGTTAAATATAGTTAACCAAATTATGAGTTGGTTTATAAACCCCATTAACTATAGTTATTTGCGCATCATAAACGGCTCCCCTTTCTACGTCACTTCAGCTCCAAGGACTCTAAGTGCTCCAACGAGTTGCCATGGAGTGAGGAGCCTGGAACGAAGGCAACGGAAGGGGCACTTTGAGTGGTGGTAAGATATGTTGAATTTGGGACAAATGTTGGGATTTTCCGTAGGAAAAGCATGGGACAAATGATGATTTACCCTCTGGTTATGTCAAAATAGCTATGGAAAATGGCCATAGAAATAGTGAGTTTTCCCATTAAATATAGTGATTTTCCATAGCTATGTAAACGTTTACCAGAGGGTATGTTGAATTTGGGAATGCTGTCCTGTGGTTAGTAATAGGTCAGCAAATAAAGCGAAGATACTACCCTGCAATATAAGGTGGAGTGGATAAAGTCAAGATTTCATGATGGACTCCAATACATGTAGGAAGACGCTATTCCTTTTTTGGCATTTGCGTTTTAGGGTTGGAAGTCTAATCAATGACTGATTCGGGATTTTGATTTTTGATTCTTTGCATATCCCTTGTGCAGTGTTCATTTGGCCTATCTCCAAGCGTGTTGTATATATCTGGATGGTGGTTCGGAACATTTTTCCATATATTGGGAATGTCATCATCCCAACTGACTTTCACTCCATGATTTTCCAGATGGGTAGGTCAACCACCAACCATATATATATACCTAGAGACTCATGTATCCAAAATTTCGGGCGCATTCCCAACCTACAAAAAAATCAGGCGCAAGTCCACAAGAATGGCGCAATGTAGAAAACACGGCGCAATTCCACAAAAACGGCGCAATGGAAATTCTGCACGGGCAAGGACGGCGCAATCACGGGCAAAAATGGTGCAATCATTGGCAAAAACGGCGCATTCCAACACCAAAATCTAAAACCATATTTGTTTCCCAAAGAACGGCGCATGCCAGAAATTTCAGCGGCAATCAGATGAAACACTGTTTTGCTAGACCAGCATCAAAATTTTGATGCCGCTCGAGTCTCTAGGTATATATATATATATACACACCTATGACAGCGATATTATATATGTTGCAATCATCCAGTTCAATAGGCAATATTCCCTAGAAATGGAGGTTTAGAGCTGGGAAAGATCGAAAAAAATGCGGGATTTTCCAGCTTAACCTGATAATAATCCCATGACACCACCCTAAAAACCCATTAAAGCACATTAAACCATCATTAAATCCCATTAAGTTATCATTGAATCTCCATTAAATCCCATTAAATCACCTTTAAATCACCTTTAAATCCCTTTAAATCCAATTAAATCAAAATTAAATCTCATGAAATTATCATTAAATCCGCCATTAAAATCCCATTCAATCTCCTACCATGTTCAGGGTTGCAACCCAACTCATGATATGTAAATAGCCACAACGGGGGGGGGGTTGTTTGGGTCATTTTATCTCTAGTTATATTCCTCCTCTGACGCGCTCCCCCTGCTGCAAGCGGGGTCGGCGGATTTACCCTCTGGTAATTTAACGTAGCTATGGAAAATGGCCATTTATAGTGAGTTTTCCCATTAAAAATGGTGATTTTCCATAGTTACGTTAGTTTACCAGAGGGTACCCTGTAGCCATGTTTGGAGCAACCCTGATGTTCAGCTTCCATCAACTCCAATGAACATCACCATATGTGTTGGTTGAATCCCATAAAACATAACCATTCCTACAGCTCCAAACACCGACGCTGAGACTGTATGGATGGAGTTGTTTAACTTGGGGTCTGTTTACCCCTTCGAATTGAGGCTATTTGATGCTATTTGGAGCACTAGGGTCTGTTGGTTAAATCCACCATATATGTGTTGGTTAAATATCATTCAAACACCATGTGTGTTGCTTAAATATCATTAAAACACCATGTGTGTTGCTTAAATCCAATTATCCCCTGGTTATGTAACATAGCCATGGAAAAACATCATTTTTCATAGGTAAACCATCACTGATTGGTGGTTTGGAACATGACTTTTATTTTTCCATTTCATATATGGGATGTCATCCGAAACCCAACTGACTTTCACTCCATGATTTTTCGGAGGGGTAGGCTCAACATGGCTCAACCACCAACCAGTTAGGCTCAAGTCCCATGCTTTTCCTACGGAAAATCCCAACATTTCATCCCGTCGCCAGGTCCTGTTGGTGTCCCTGGGAAGTCTGACGGTGGAATATCGCTGGGAGGCAGCTGAGCATTTGCCGCTGGGCACCGGGCGTACAAAGGTTGGCGAGTCAGGAGTTGACCAACAAAGAATGGCGGTTTGGCTAGGATTTAACCAACAAAATGGTGGTTGAATGGGGTTCAACCAAAGAAATATGGTGGTTGAATGGGATTTTAACCAACAAAAAAGGGAAATGTGGTGGTTGAATGGGATTTAAGATGATTTAAGAAAAGAACATGCTGACTTCATGTAGCTTTATCAACCATAGTGGTGATTTTGTAGGATTTAAGCAACAAACATTGGGTACGAAACCAACCAGAATGGTGCGTATTACACGATGGTCATATAATAATGACTTGGTACATAAGTTGGGCGAAGATTTTTTTTGGTCTTTGATCCTGTCAACCAAGGAGTTAGGAGTTGATGGAAACAACTTCAGGTGGATTTAGCCCCCCCTATTTTGAGAAATTGTAACGACCCCCGCGCCGCGATGTCACGGGAATTGGAATGATGGTGAATAGGGGTAAGTCTCAAAATAGCCGGGAACTCTTTAGGGCACAGTGAATGATTTCATATCTAAAATTTACTAAATTCTATAAGTCTGGATGTTTTTTGTTTTTTTTTAATAAGGCCTACTGCAGCGTCGTGCTTCTCAGATGCCATTGCCGACAGCTGGATCTAGTGGTGCAATGACCGATGCATCAAAGCGCAGAATTGAAGATGCAGAGTTTGAAGTCGACACAGAGTCAGATTGGGTGGTTGGAAGTAGTCTCATGGAGCCTGTGGGAGGCACCGAAGATTTGGCCACAAAGGCCTTGCTTCCAGCTGGTATTACCAATATGGCTATGTGGGGAAAGACCAAGTTTGCATTTGGAAAGTATGAGAAGGAGATGACAAATTACCAGACTGTCTTCGAGAAAGATCCCAGCTATGTCTCATGGTGTCGAAAGCATTTGACCAAAGACTCTTCGAAGGGTCCTGCCTTGGATTGGTCAAGTTACATCAAGGCCCGAGATTTGGTGGACTGCAAATGGTAGCTCAGGAATCTGGCTGTTGGAACGGCTAAAACATGGGAGTCAACGCCGAAACACCGAAACATTCACTGGGTTGGGATGGGTAGCAGTGGTCCCATGGGTCATCCCATGGTTCGTCATCATGTTTCCCATGGTAGTCTACCCAGGCACTTATTGTTTCAGGCAACCTGTTGGCTATGCCTTCTGAGGAAAGTTTACTACTTAGATGGGCCATGGGGTTGGTTGAACCCCAAAGATAACTAGGTATAGTTCATGGACTAGTTCACCCACTTACGATCACCAGTTAACTAAGTATTTTTAATCGCTGATAATGGCAGGAACTTATTTCCGGGACTAACTAGAAGGTGAGGCTCCCAAACGATAGCTAAGTTATTAAGTTGACTTATAACTTGCTGAAATGTTGGGTTTATGATAAAGTATGTATATACAATATGTATCACAATTACTGTATATAATCTAGTATCTGGTTGGTGGTTTGGAACATTTGGATTGTTTTTCCATACATATTGGGAATTTCATGATCCCAACTGACTTTCACTCCATGATTTTTCAGAGGGGTAGGGCGAAAAACCACCAACCACATAACCTTGACCATGGTTTTCATCATTATTAACCATTGTTAATCCACTACAATCCACTATAATCCACTATATAACCACTATAATCCACTATAATCACCATTATTCATGGGTAAACATATTTCCAGCCACCGTTCACATCACGTGGTTTTTTCGAAAAGCCCAGGTCCTCGACTGGTTGGATCACTGGAAAGCAGTACAGCTTACGCCTTTGGTCGGAACTCCTTGAGACCTTTGGCGGACGTGCCCTGGTGTTCGCTGGAGGCTACGGTTATATATATATATATTTATATTTATGATTGGGATATGTTTTTGGGAATAATATGACTTATTATACTAGGGGTTAAGATAAACAAAGAATCTATGATCATGTTTGTTCGATACAAAAGGATCAGCTATTGAAGCTAATATGATAGACTTTTATATGTTTTGCTTAATATGCATTCTCCTGATCCTGAACAGTTGCAACTCAGGGACATCTTTGCAAGTAGGGTGTAACATGTTAATGTTTGCAACTCAGGGTTTCAGACTCCTCAAAACGGTTGAACCTTGATGAAAAGAGGACCAGTGAATGCATGGAATGTTCTGAAAGGGACTCCACCCTTGGTATCCCTTGGTCCTGTGCATTCCCGGTTGAGCCAAAGGCCTTTGGCTCCAGGTCCGATTTAGATTGAACGAGGTTTTTGGCTCCTGTGTTTCTTCGAATGCTTCGTGTAAACGTCTCGTTCCCGAGTGGTTCTGGGGACACTCTGTTGCTCCCTGAACACTCCAAAGTGGGGGACTTGAAAATTCTGGCCCAAAGCACTTTCAGAAAGGGCTTCCTGAGACTCATCACTGTTGGAGGACATGTGCTAAGCAACCCCGAGGACTCTTTGCAGGCTGCAGGGGTGCAAGACGGAGAGCACCTAACGGCTGTGGTGCAACAGCCGCAGGTAGCCACGTCTCGCACCGCATTTGCGTTGTGGTGCTGTGGATGTAACGGGGTGGTGACTTGGGGCCATCCACGCCATGGTGGTAACAGCTCTGCAGTCCAAGATCAGCTGAGGAATGTGCAGCAGATTCGGGGAACAAAAGGTGGTGCTTTTGCCGCGATCTTGGCCGATGAATCTGTGGTGGCTTGGGGCCATCCAGACTTTGGTGGTGACTGTTCAGAAAATCAAGATGAGCTGAACAATGTAAAGCAAATTCAGGCCACACATCGCGCATTTGCCGCAATCTTGGGCGATGGATCAGTGGTTTGCTGGGGCCATCCAAACTTTGGTGGTCGTTGTTGTGCGGTTCAACATCAACTGCGGGCCGTCAAGCAAATTCAATCGACTGAGCGTGAATTCGTAGCGATCTTGGCCAACGGATCAGCGGTTGCTTGGGGCGATCCAGACTTTGGTCGTGAATGTCCCGGAGTTCAAAATCAGCTCAAGAATGTCCTCCAGATTCAGGCCACAAATGGGGCATTTGCCGCAATCTTGGCCGATGGATCCGTAGTTGCATGGGGCAATCCGTATATGGGTGGTGAATGTTTCATATCTGGAGTTAAAGATCAGCTCAAGAATGTGCTGCAAATTGAGGCCACTGATGGGGCATTTGCTGCAATCTTGGCTGACGGGTCAGTGGTTGCGTGGGGCCATCCGGACTTCGGTGGTCGGTTTTCCGCAGTGCAAGATCAGCTGCGGAATGTGAAGCAAATTCAAGCTACTGAGCGTGCATTTGCAGCAATCTTGGGCAACGGAGCAGTGGTTGCCTGGGGCGATCCAGACTTTGGTGGTGACTGTTCCAGAGTTCAAGATCAGCTCAAGAATGTGCTGCAAATTCAGGCCACAGATGGGGCATTTGCCGCAATCTTGGCTGACAGGTCAGTGGTTACCTGGGGCATGCCAGAGCATGGTGGTGACTGTGCTGCCGTTCAAGAAGAACTCGGACATGTGGAGCAAATCTTTGCGACAGGATATGCTTTTGCCGCCATCTTAGCAGATGGATCCATTGTTGCCTGGGGTGATCCAGACCGCGGTGGGGACTGCTCAGCAGTCCGAGACCAGCTCCGATGGTTGTAGACTTTTAAAAAGTTGCCTACAGACTCTGGAGCATTGTTTATCATTGTTTCACTTTCGGAAAACAGCTGCTGGCTGTGAGAAATTGCCGGCCAACACGGGGTCTATCCCAAAAATCTTATGTTTGCTATTCCATGGCTCTAGTCATCAACGGCTTTTTGGTTTGCAACATTTCATCTTTGATCATTGCTATGTGTTGGAATATCTTCCAACACGTCAGTATTTGTTTGCACGTTGCCCTTTTGTTGCTGCTATATATATATAATCTCCTTATTGTCCATCGACCACCATACATTATATATATACACATTCATATACTCAGTCTGATGGTCCTGATGCTTATATATGGTTTTAAATGGTGTTATCATTCCATAAACAGGGTTTATAACTGACTTATAATTGGTAAAGGGCCATAGCTGTGGGGAGAGTAATTCAGTCACATCCAGTGACAATTTTTCCTGGCTGCGGTTTGGTCAAACCTTATGGGGGCTGCTGAAGTAGGAGAGCCTCCGGATTGTACTCACATAGAGCTTTGTTCGTCCCATAGGTAGCTAAGTTGATGCAAATAGCTCCAATGACACGATACATATGTCTATAGTTCATGGGGCTTATGAACCAACTTAAGTCTGGGAGGCACCACCTGGTAATACAATTTGATTTGATGGCCTATGTTCAATGATTCGTTTTTCACATTGGACTTGGAGTCTCTTCCCATCAAGATTTCCCGCATCATACCCACAGCAACTTATGATGTATGGCTGGGGCCCAAATGACTCCTTTTTTAGAGGGTCTTTGGAGGGTCAAGATGTGTAGAACACTGGTCACAAATGGGTACAAGGTTTGGTTTATGTCATGTCAGCTTCTTGACATATGGAACTTGTCAAGATTTGTGGAACATGTCCAAGGGGGAAATTTCACTAACTATTTTTGCCCCATCATGTTTGCCAAATATTAAAAAAGTAATCACCAACGGCAGCAAAAGGCAGATTGATCCACCAAACCCATGGAAAAGATTGGAAAAGTCTGTAATCATTCTCCAACAAGCAGGAACTTCCAGCCAAAGCCCATGAAAGCCTATCATTGCCTGGAAGTCACATTGACTAAGTCCATTTTGTTGGATAATCCCTCGACTTTCAGGGCAATCTGCAACTTAAAATTTTTGGCTATTCAACTTACTTAGTTAACTTAGCTATCATTGTTTAATCCCAGGTATTTTTCCTTTTTTGGTTGACTAAGTCCATTGAGTCACCATTGGGTCAATTTGATCTAACGACCGAAGCCTGGTCTCCCGAACCCTGGAAATCATGGTTTAGATATAGGGAAATGATTCCCTTTTATGGCCGCAAGATTCAGGTGAGTGAAATATTATTTCATTTACCCAGATATATGTAATTAAATCACCATAATATGTATAGTTACCATGAAGTCACCACAATAGATAGTTACCATATCGATACCATCTAGTTACCACTAACTAGCCTCTAACCTCTAACCTCTAACCATACCGTAAAGTTGCCATGTAGTTGCCATCAAGTCACCATGTCCCAGGTGAGGATGTGCGCGTGATTTTGTCCATTGGCCAACGCGACGAAGCCCGAGAAGTCCTGGGTGACTTGCTGCTTCATGGCGGTGCGAAGCTTGGTGGTTGCCTTATAGGAAAAAGCCATAGGAATACCTAGGAAAACCATAAGAAAACCAAGAAAACATGTGATTTCCATGGGATTTCATGGTGAATTCAACAGACATGGTGATTTGTTGATGGGATTTCGCCAGGACAAATGGTGATGTCCATGGATTTTCATGGTGATTTTCATGTGGATTGGGATTCATGGTGACCGTTGGGTTATGGTAAATAAATCTACAGGATGTGCATAAAGCAACTTATAAATCATATATCCATATATTGGGATACAATCTATACTGTTGCGCCAGTCTAGGGCCGACTTAGATGTCTTTCGCAACCTTCAATCGAACTTGGAAACTGTTTCAGGACATTCTGAGATTTAGATCCAAAGGATATTTTGCGACGATTGCGGTGTCTGGTCGGAGCTCAAGAAGGTGAAGGAGTTCAGGAAAGACACAGTGGGATACGGCTGCTGGAGGCTCCGCAGCGGTTGCAAGATGACTACAGGGAGGTGGGCAAAGCGGAGTATTAGGCGAACTGACTGAAGAATAAATATCTTGCGGATAGACGAGCTATGATATTGAATGTTCAACATTACAATGACAGGGAACCAGTGTGTTGTTTGTTGCCTTTAGCACAATCAATTTCTTAAAACTGAGTGCCATCCAATGGCTATTTCAGTATAGATGCCACGTATTAACCCATGGTTTAAAGTGTTTAAACCATAAGCCATCACCATTAAATCACCATTAAATCATCATTTCTCTTGGTTGAAAATCTAAAAAAATGCATTTTCCCATGGTTTTCCCTGAGATTTTTCCACCAAAGGTTGGATGATCCGAGGTGATCTGCCGTCCAACTTCAGGGCTCTGAAATTCCTGGACCAGGCCGCGAGTGGTGGGGCCAAGATGACGAAATCGCTGATTTCATTGGGAATATCAATAGGAAAATTGTGATTTCATGGGATTGATAGCTGTTGTATGATAGTTCATGTAGGAACTGGTTGGTGGTTTGGAACATGAATTTTATTTACAAACCAATAGAGACTGGATGATGATCCAATCTGACGTTCATATTTTTCAGAGGGGTAGGTATACCACCAACCATGGAAAAAACATAGGAAAAAACATAGGAAAATGGGGATGTCATGGGATTTATAGCTGATTTATGATAGCTAAGTTGGTGAAGATAATTCCAATTTCACGATGGCTTATGATACGATACTCAAATAATTAACTAATTATAGACTTTTTTTTTTATTTTTTTTAAATAGGTTTACAAACCAATCTTCGAAAAATCGTGGGAAACTCCTGGGACGACTTTTTGGAGCACCGTCCCATGGCACCCGGTGTGGCGATGGTCCCGGAAGGTGGAAATTCCCTATACGTTTTACCATGGTTTCGTTGATTTCGGAGGTGCAATGTGGGGCCCCCAAGATAGCGTTCAGTTGGTTTATAACTCCAATAACTATGGTTTATGGTACTTATAACTATAGTTACTGGGGTTTATAAACCAACTTATAACTGGGGGGCCCCACATTGTGCTTTTGTATATATTGGGGAAGGGATTCATCTCTACATGGAAACCATGTTTTTTTCTGCATTTTTTTTCAGCCACATGAGAGGTTATTCATGCATCAAGGGTCTGACCCCAGCTATATAGTTCACTATATCCAGCATACATCCCAGATAGCTCAGTTCTAAACCCAACTTAGAGAACTGTGGGGTTTCACCTTGCGAGTAAGTTATAAGCCTGGGTATAAATGGGGTAAGCAGCTCAGCAGGGTGGTGCACTTCCAACTTAGAGGCTACTTACTCAGTGCAGATGTTCACCAATGGTGAACCTTTCAATGTGCGTTTTTGTTCACTCCAAACAAACCCTGGAGCCCTGGTGTTTGACGTTATACCCACCCAATTATCAAGATATACACCATATCCCCAGAATTGATTGATTTTGAAAAACCTTCAGGAAATCCCATGTTTGGTACAAAAAAAACATGATTTTCAAAGATCAAGGTGGTGGTGAGTCCACCTGCATAAATATGAGGCCCCGGGCCCCGATATACTATAACTGTGGTGAAATATATACACTTGTAACTGATAAATCAGTGGAATCGGTGACTGAAGTGTCATTTACCCAATACACCTTGATCCAAATTATGTACCCTCAGGTAAAATCAAACATGGCTTCCAGGACAATCCACCAGTTTCGCATGATTTTTCCAGCGAACAAAACCTCCATTGTGGTGATGTTCAATTGCTACGATTGATGACACTGGAGCATACATTGAATCCAGCATCACTAGGAAGATGACATATCTATATTTCATATATGATATATATATTATATATACACATACACATATTGCATTACGAAGTTGCATCATAAATGCCATTAAATCCTTACAATGTGGGGCCCCCTAGGTATAAGTTGGTTTATAAACCCCATTAACTATAGTTATAAGTACCATAAACCATAGTTATTGGAGTTATAAACCAAGTGAACGCTATCTAGGGGGCCCCACATTGTACCCATAGGATCCATGTATGCTATATATGATAACATTTACCATCCATATACCCCAAATGTTAGCATATATACCAGCACCATGGATCCTATGGGTACTGATGAAACATCCCAACAACTGATTGATTTATGTCCAGGTCTCGGCGCTCCGACGCTGCGATGCCTTCGTGACCCATGGCGGAGCCAACAGCATCAAGGAGGCGCGGCGCGACTGTTCGCGTGGGTCGTTGCCCAAAAGAAGGGGGGAACAGAACCTCTTAAAAGATAGAAAAATCAAATTGGCATTAAAATAGTGGTTAATCACATTAAAACATTTTTTTTTATTTGGGTAACTATAGTCCAGCTTCCAATGTTGTTTGGGAAATTTGAATCAAACCATTTTTTGTTGTTTTTCATGGGAGTCGACCTGGAATCTCATAAGTTCTTTAGCTTCTGGGCAGGTTCTGGCATGCTGACATGCTGTCAAGGTACATTTCTGGTTGGTGCTTTGGAACATGTTTTTGATTTTTCCATATATTGGGAATTTCATCATCCCAACTGACTCATATTTTTCAGAGGGGTAGGTAAACCACCAAGCAGATTTCTTTTGTTACTTGGGGTATACCAGAGCAATTTTTCCGTCCAGTATTGCTGAATCACATCATTTAGCCTTCATCAACCGGTGCTTCGCTGGTGGTGGCGCGGTGCTGTGGAAATTCGTTGGGTTTTCATCCCATGAATCCGTTGGCTAAAACAAGATGCAATGGTGATATCATAGCTTGGCCCTTCAGATACGCCATTGCGTATTATGTGGTATCAATGGACTGATTTTGATTTCAAGACCATATTCTACAGTATATTATGTTATGATAAGTTATTATTATTTGATTATTATGATATGATTCTCATACTGCATTCTTGTATAAACCATATAATCATATATATATATATAAATTATGTACCCTTCAGATGTGAAATCCCATCGAAACTTCATCATCCCATGAATTCCCAACTTTATCTTGCCCCTTATCCGCCTTTGGAGGCCACTCTGCTGGGAGTTCCGATGATCGTCACGCCCTTCTGTGTGGATCAACCCACCAACGGTGAGGCGCTGCTGCTGGTACTACCGATGTCGTCCCAATTTTCGCGAAGTTGGTGAAGGTTTGTCTATATGGAATGTTACTGTATGGATTATGCCTTTCCAGTTACCAGATCTTGGGCTGGATCAATACCTCTGAATGGCTCCAGGTACGTTACGAACGCTTAACTCCAATTTCACCAAAGTGTTTCGTGACATCTCCACTTGGAACATCATATAAATATCGTTAAAGAATGTTAAAGATCCATCAGATAACACATGTTGGACACTGAGCATTAACAATAACTCCATTGTAAGGTGACAATGGTCCTCCGCCGTTCAGGCGGTGGAACGCTACGGCGCGGGCGTGTGCTTCTCCGATCTCATGGCGACGCCCAGAGGACAGGGACTTGTTGGGATGTTGGGGGATTCAATGTGATTTTTGTTACAACGTGGGGCCCCCAAGATAGCGTTCAGTTGGTTTATAACGCCAATAAGTATGGTTTATGGTACTTAAACCTATAGTTAATGGGGTTTAAAAACCAACTTATAACTGGGGGGCCCCACATTGTTGGGATCCATTGGGATGTTATTGCAATTTTATTGGGATTTTGCTTAAAAAAACTTGATTGCAATGTGATTGCGATTTTATTGCAATTTGATTGGGAACTATATAATTGGATCCAAATGCATCCAAACTCTTATTTGAAGTTCAGGAATCATTAAAATGTGCCCAGATACATGATCGTTTATCCATAGGGAATCAATGAAACACTGCCTTATCTAACATCGAGGATGTGTGACGAAATGAAACCAAAGCTGGCACATGTCCATGTAGTTTTTGTTGCCTTATTTAAAAACGTTGTTTTCCCATTGTCAGAGTTCATATATTCAACCATATTCAACCTGTGCTTTCTTTGTTATTCATCAGTTTTTCATTTTTGCTTAAATCTCATCCTCATCCCTACAGTTGTTTCCCGTTTTCGCTAGATGTTCATGTTCTTACATATTCCTACCTTTTTTTTGTCTTTCCCCTAAAGACACCAGTATTTAGCGATTTGGTGTTTGTGGCCGTGTTTGTCCATGTGTGCTTGGTGAAGTTAAAGATTCTAACTGCGCCATGCGCCATCGTAACTAACCGGGTTTTTTAATGTGATGCCCCAGTTCGAAAACGCTAAGTTGATACCTAACAAAGCTGGGGCTTATGGCAGACTATATTTATGGTTTGCTTGGTAATTCTATATCGAACAAACATAACTGTGGACATCGCCTTGTATCATGATTGGCTCATATTGGCTCTGAATCCCTTACATCCCCATGTTTTGTTGGTTAAATTCCTCCATGTCAGCATTGAATTCCACATAGTTGGTTTTTATATTCATATTAGATACAATTAGAACTATATTATATATATATCCCCTGAAGCCTTCATGAAATATCACCATATTAAGTAGGAGGAACTTCAGCAAATGAGCAGTGGACAGGTCATCCAGTTGCTTAATGGAATGACTTTTGCGGGTAGTGAAGCCATCAATCCCCTCATAATACTGGGTCAACTTTGGTTAGATAACAAGCTAAACATGGCTGGTTTCTTGGCTGGTATCTAAGATTCACTATGATTATTGGTGATATGTTCCTTTCCCCAGCTAATCGTCGGCATATCCTTGTTTGTATGCACATTATTCCTGCAATGTGAGGCCCTCTAGTGATGTAAGTTGGTTTATAGACCCATTAACTATACTTGTATTCCCTATGAACCCAAGCGTTAACCAAGCTGTGTGCGTCAACTTTGCTATCGTCAATGGGGGCCTCGCCGCCTCGTTAAGTGGATGTAAAACTGGTATACCTAGGGTTTGTGATCATTTAAACACAGTACAACAAACTATCATTTGCTGAACATAACTAGGTGAAAGTCTATGGTTTATGGTAGATATCATATATACATATAGTCAATGGAACTCGATTGCTTTATGCAATTTATATCAAATTATACATCGTTCATGGATGTTCATGGTGGTTCAAAACCAACAGACCCCTTTGAGGCGAACTCTCGGAGGCCGTCAAGGTGGCCTTGGGCGACGGCCCAACGGTGCAGCAGTGGCGAGAACGAAGCCTCGAACTGGGAGAGGCCGATGCGACGTGCGCGACGTGTTGGATGGTGATTTCAGCTGGCAAAAGCTTACTGGTGCTAAACGTAGGGAATTTTCGGGAATGATCCACTGGCTAACCATCAATAATCATCCCAGCAACCCCCAGCAACCCATCCATTCCCTACGTTTAGCACCAAGAAACAGGGGAAACACTTGATGTTTGGTTGGGGATTTCATGGGAGTCAACTTGGATTAGACCAAACATGGTGATGTCATGGGATGTTCCTTGGAACTTTCATTGGAGAACTGGGCTTCTCGGATTAAACCATTGATGAATAAGCAGTGGATTAAACCAACAACGGTTCAACCTTTGTTAAATCTGGTTTGCTGATTCGGCTTACTTGATTGCTGGTCAACTGATCCGGGATATGGCTATGATCCTCAAGATTCCAACCACATCGAGACGAGTGGTGAACCTTCTGAACTCTTTGGAGGGTTACGCAGCTGTCATGGCTGGAATTGTTGGACATGCTGTTCCAACGTCAGCTTCGTTTTTGGCGATGCCTGGTCCGAGGAACGAAATGAACCGAATGCTGTACCATGCGGTGAGGAACATCTTTGTGCTCAAAGAGCTGCCCACCGAGAAGACCTGTCCAATTACACGCTACATGTGCGACTATTGCAAGTAGCCGTGGTGGCCCAAACTTCCCAGTAGCGCGGCAGGGCTAGCTGAACTTGGGCTGGTAGGACTTACACCTTTCTTGCATGGCCATGGAATACCCCATGCACTTCTCCTCGACTGACAATGGGGGCCTTTTGGATGTTGTCTGTAAGGTGAAGATTTTCGATGATGCTCATGAATCACACCTCCTTACTGCACGTGATGGTACTGACTTCATTTACAAGGGATGCCTCCATGATGGTTTTCACTGCTATACCATTTTTAATGGGGTGATGATGCAACAGTTTCCCATTCCAATTGTTGTTTCTACCAGTGGTACGAAAGTCCTTGGGCACCATTCGCACTCGTGGGAGTCTTTGAAATCGGTGGTGGATTTGTGCGCCGGGTTCGGTGGATTGGCACAAGGAGCAACGGCTGCAGGTTTCACTGTTCAGGTCGCCGTTGATCACAACCAACGCATGCTGGATTTGTACTCCAAGGCTGGTGATTCTCATTTGATTTGTGGGGACATTGGAGCCCAAAGTGTGATGCATGAGATCTGGGCCCACTCTGGCGGCGCAGGTACTTTCACTTGCGGGTTCAGTTGTCAGCCCTTTTCCCGATTAGGTGACGGCAAGAGCCAAGCCGATGAGAGAGCCAATTGTCTCACCAAAGCGCTTCGGACTGCTTACTATCTCAATGCACAAATCATTGTGTTAGAATGCGTTGCACCGGCAGCCCAAGACGGATTCGTCAAAGGTGAGTTGGCCCATTTCACCAAACATACTGGGTTCCATTGCTCCATGACTGAACTGAAGCTTGATGAGATTTGGCCATGCCGCCGACAGCGTGCATGGTGGGTTTTGTCCTCACCTGAAGTCGGTCCCATTGACTTGTCCTCATGGCCAAAGTTTCAGGATGTCCATGAAGTCTCACATGTGATACCAGAGATTAGGCTTTGGGCTGCAGCTGATGAGCACCAACTGGCTCTCGATGACATTGAACTTGCTGCCTTTGGTGTCAACGAAGACCAGCATGCCAAGCACCTTCTTAACGCCAAAGGAAAAGCACCATGCGCGTTACATGCATGGGGTTCTCAAACCCGTGCCTGTGCCTGTGGTTGTCGCAATGCAGGTTTCTCACAGTCAAGGTTGGAAGCCAAGGGCATTCACGGATGCATCACTCGTAGCGCAGTTTTCCCTGATGGAACTAGCCTAATGAGACATGTTCACCCAAACGAGGCTATGGGGCTCAACACATTCGATCCCATCATCGATTTTGGACAGGAAGTGCGATTGACCCTTGCTGCTGTAGGGCAACTAGCATGTCCGGCCCAAGCCTTGTGGATCCTCAGTGAAGTTCTTGCCAGGATTGACATGATGAAACATGCACGCACCTTCACCAAATCGGAGCAATTGCAAGCCTATAGGTCTTGGTTGTTGATGAGGTGCAGACAGGTGTGGCCAGCACAGGTTGAACCTGTCACAGACCAGACCATCCTGACGTTGGCGACGTTTTGGGGTCAACACAAAGATTTGTCTCTTGGTGAGTTACTGTTTCCTTTGCGATGGGAAGGACAGATTGAGGGTACGATCAGCATTGCTGCAGTCCTGGATCACCTGATCCGTATGCGTGAAGGCACTGCTCCAACGGTTCCTGATGCCGACCCAAAGACACCACCCATTTCTGACGTTGATGAAGTGCCGGTTTTTGACCAACCTGTCATTTCTGAAGACATTGCCACAAGTGGTTGCATGGTTGCCGAGTTTTGCACCGTCATTTTCTCCAATTCGGATGAACCTCCTCTCCGTTTCCAGCCGAGGTGTGGATCTACCATTTCTCAATTTTTGAATGCCCATGAGAAATTGATCGGTACTTTTGAGGTTGAAAAGATTGTGCTGAATGATCTGCCTGTCCCGATTGACCATGTTCTTGCGGTAGGACAAGTGTTGGAGGTTCAACTCAAGACCCCTGTTTTGCAGCTTGATGCCCAATTACCGATTGTTTCTCCCACTGCCGAGTGGTCACAGCCAATTGATGATTCAGGAGTGAAATCACCTCTCAGGAAAGTCTCGAAGTTTGATGTTGGAGAATGTGTCACTCCGAGTGCCTTGTTGCCTGATGACACTGCCTGGCTTGATGCTCGACCCCTGGTAGGATTGCAAAGTGAGCAGTTCTTAAAACTTGGAATGCCAAGCATCCAAAACGCGCAGCAACTGTGGTCCTTGAGGCACCAATACCTTCGCACCGAAGATCGTATCCAGGTCTTGGACAACCAGGAGAGATTCTGGGCAGATGATGAAATCAGGTTTCACCTTCATGCCGTTGTACAGGCCAGCCTTGAGATGTCCGTTCGTTTGGGACGAAAGGTGCAGCCAGTTTGTGTCCTTGACCCTTTGATTGCAACTGCCTGGATCCAACACCGTGGGTTCGATTGTCATCAGTGGGCTACTGATCACCCTGAAATTTTGCGAGACGGCATTCCTATTGTCACAGTGATTCTGATTGATCAGCATTGGTTCCCATTGTTCATGTCTCCTTTGCAAGGGGTCCTGCATGTCCACACATGGGATGGCATGAACGCTTCACATGAGGGTCTTGATTTGCTCATGGACAAGCTTGCGGTTGCTTTGGGGTTAACCAACGCCATGATCAGACGAGAACACAGGCTGTTTTTCACCTCTGATCTGTGCGGGGCCCTTGCAGTTGCCTTTTTGAGATATGCACTCGTAGGATTACAACTTCCTTCTGATTGCACAGAGGCCACTGTCATTCATGCCAAGCTGAAAGAGGCGTACATGACTGAACTGAGGCGATGCCAAATTGCCAGGCGACCATGGATCTGGGGAGCCGGTGATAAGCGCCCCACAGTTTCACCCTCCAGTGATCTCCATTTGGCCGTCAACATCTCACGTGACCAGAGAATTGACCTCATTAATGAGAAAGGGATGGCACTTGCTGATGACGAAATGCGTTTCCACCTCATGCAGCTTGTTGCTAATCAGCCCGCAAGCTCTTCGGCGAGTGTTCAGAAGTTCACATTCATGGAGCCTTTGATTTTCAATTGCTGGGATTCCATTGGCCACATCATTGCCAAGCAGTGGTGTGCCAAAAACATGCAAGTACATGAAAGAGGCCAAAACATTGTGACGGTTGTTGCGGTTGAAAACCATTGGTTGCCTCTGTGGTTCGTCCCCAGGAACAACACCTTGCAGGTCCATACCTTTTTGTCTGAGGTACCGTTTGACCAAGTTGAGAGGGTAGTTGTTGCGGTCGCTGACAGCCTTGGATTTCATGGACATGCTATCCACAGAATCCCAACTGGATTGCCTGATCATGACATGTGTGGTGCACAAGCCTTGGCTTTCATTGCGCATGTAGTTGTGAACATGACACTGCCTGACACCATTGCTGAACTCCGCACCCTGCACACAAACATGCGGGCGTCATTTGTTGCCCATCTGTATGGCCTTGAATACACCCCGAAACCAGTGGTGTGGGGAAAAGGCAAACGAGGGGAATCCGGGCCACTCCCAATAATGCCCGATGATTTGCACTCAGAAGATGAGCAGAAAGAGCGACGCTTGCGGATGCTCTCAACCCAAAGTTATGCCATGGGTGATGATGAAATTTTGTTTCATGTGGTGCACCTGCTTGACTGCTACCGACAAGGGCCGAGAGACGTTGGTCATGTCCGACACTTCCTCACTGTTTCACCAAAAACCCTGCACCTTTGGCTGCAAGGGAATACTGCTGATTTCTATGATTGGCTTGTGAATGAATGGAGGCCTACACAATTTGAGGGTCATTTGGTCACGGTTGTTTTGCTGCAGCAACACTGGGTACCTCTCTGGATTGCTCCTGTGGGACAAACTGCACATTGCCACACGCTGACCGATTTCATGGTTGATGAGCAGGTTATCGAAACCACTTTTCGCCAGATTGCACAGGGCCTTGGGTTTGCTGATTCAGTCGTTCACAAAGTGCCGCATGGGTTGGTAGTTGACAGATTGTGCGGAACCATGTCAATTTCTTTCCTGGCACACATCATTTTGCGCACCAGGTTACCAGAAGATGTTCACCAGCTCCGGTCCCGATGCTGGGATATGAAAATGGTTTTTGCCAGAGCGCTCGAAACCCCGCCTACTTTTCCAGAGCTTTGGGGCTGGGGTTGTGAAGGGGAATGCAGGCCACTCCCTAAATTGCCTGCCACCGGCCATTTTGCTGCCGTCTTGCACGAGTTTTTGGGCTCCGAATGGACATGTAGATGCCTTGAGCTTTTTGCTGCCTCTCCTTTGCCCTTCATCAGCCTGAAGGGATTTTCTCCGGGATGAGTCAGTGTGAAATGGAGTTTCACATCGACGCGCTGAACATGACTGCACATAATGGGGTAACCTTTGGTACGATCTCGCATGTGACTCAGCTTTCACTCCAGGCTCAAGAGTTTCTCTCTACTGCTGAGAACTGCAGAGGACTTGCCATGTTGCACAATGAGCATTGGATGCCAGTGATCTTCCTCCGTCACCATGGCCAGGTGTTCATGATCCTTGAACAAAATCCTGTTGTGTCTGAGCTTTCACTGCACCCAGGGATTCAGCAGATCCTGATTGCGCCTTGTACCCAGGAGTATTGTGGCGCCATCACTTGGATGGTGCTTGCTGGTGCATGTGGTTTCCCTCTTGACATCTTGAGTGGGCAGGAAATGCAGTTTTTGCTTGCGTAGAGATTTAGGTGCTCTGGTCTTGCCATTCCTCAGGACACCAAATGGGGTTTTGGTCCACAGGGACAGTTGGTTAAGAACTTGGTGACTGAACTCCTGAAGCATGGTATTCCTGAAACTGTTGTGGAAGAGCGGGCGAATGCAGCCATTAAGACACTGGGAAGCGAGCAGATTCTGGCTGCTCTTGGCCACCGCAATCCATGGAAGCAATTGAAAATTTTGGGGAACAATTCGAAGTTTCAGTTCGTTATGCCCAGTGAATTGGCTCTGGTCGTGGAAGCCAACAAAGGCAAGAATGTGAGTAGTAAGGGAAAGGGTAAAGGTCCCAAACCGGTACCTCAACCAACTGAGTTGGACCCTTGCAAGTTGCAAGTTCTCGAGGGTACTTTTCACGCACAAGGGTCCCCCATGATGCAACTGACTATGAAGCAGATAGGACCCGTGAGTAGCGGCTTCATCTTGATGTCCATGCATGATGCTGAGCCTTATCTCCGTGCGGGGAAAGCTGTTTCACGTGAACCACTTGCTTTACTGGTTTTGCACCGCACTGGATCAGAAGTCCAAACTGCCTTGCCTCATGTGTCCATCATGGTCCCTTGCCGGTGCACAATCAATAATGAACCAGTGTTGGCTGAGGCCGTTCTTGTTCAGGTTGGGTCTGGCATTGTTGAGAAGTCCACTGGGACAGCCATGGTCTCTGTTGACACTCCTGAGGTTGTCACACTCAAAGTCTTGGTGTACAGGGATGAATTGAGAGGCGATTGGGCCGAGTTCTGTGGGTCCCCGATCAAGTGCTTGGTATCACTTCTGCCACAACTCAAACGATGTTTCACTGAGGGTTGCAGCTGCCCTGCTTGGCACAATGTGGAACAATTGCCGTTACGGGATCCCATTTTAGATGTTTGGCGCAGACAGTACCTGCGGCAGGGCTTCCGTCCCTGTCCTGCTGACAAAGCTGAATTCTTTTCAGTTTGCATCCGCATTCCGATTTGTATCCTGGAACCCCTGCTGGCAGCAAGCGGAACATCAGGTGCCTATTGCGAACCAAGAACGGCTGATGGTAAGGATATCTTACCTGATTACACGGTCATCTGGACCCCGAAGCACTCTCTCCAAGAGATGCAGCATCTCATGCAGACCAACCCAGCGGTCACGGGCTTGGCCCGCCTGGGGGAGAGACGCGGACTGCGAGTCCATGTGAAACAGGCCAAGGTGATTCTCCAGTTGGTCCGACCGGACTCTGTGTTTCTACCCAGTGGCCCCAAGCTGAGTTTCACCGTGGGCCCCCTGCCTTATGGTGTTGATCGCCAAGCTGTGGGGAAAACTCTGCAGAAAGGAGGTTGGGAATGCCGGCCTCTCCAACCCACTACGCCGTGCCCAGGACGTGGAGTCATGTGGTTAGTACAGGCGACTGAGGACCCTGAGAATGCCATCATCTCAACCACCACTGGAGAAATTGTGATCACAAAGCAAAAGCCAGACCCTGCTGCTACAGCCAAGAGCCCCTCCACTGTTGGCTCTGCTGCCACTTTGGCGCTGTGTGGTACTGATCATGGAGCCAAGAGTGCCAAGGCTGCTGAAGGCGACCCTTGGACGACCACCGACCCGTGGCGATCCTATCAGCCCACTGCGGGTGCTGCTGCAACTGGGCCTACCGAGGGCATGCTCCAGATCGAACAACGTATCCAAACGGCTGTCCTGGCCAAATTGCAAACGCCAATGGAACAAGATGACTTGCCGGATCGAGTTCACCAGTTGGAAGGCCAGGTCCACCAACTACTGTCTAAACAGCAGGGACTCGAAACCCAGTTCCAAGAATACAGTGGTCAGCACATGCAGCAGATCAATGCCCTGCAGGGTCAAGTCACCGCCCAAGCCCAACAATTGCACGGGCATTTGGAAAACCAAAACCAGACAATGCAGTCGCTCTTCGAGCAACAGATGCAGCAAATCCGCGGCCTTTTGGCCAAAAGACCAAGGGAAGAGGGCCAAGAATGACTGTCTGGCTGGGGATTCGGCGCCATGTTGCTCAGCTTTGTTTCACTGTGGGGTGCTGAGCTCCTTTTCCGAATCCTGAGCCTTGTCAGTTTGATTTTGTTGGGGATGGCATTTTGCCGGTATGCATCTTTCCGATGTAAGCGAAGTCTGTGGCCATATTTGTTTGTTTTCACCACCCTGTTCAGAATCGGTGAGGCGACCAATCCTGGCCCTGAATCCAGTTTTGTGCTTGGAGCTTTCAACCCTTCGGGTTTGCGGGGCAAGGCTCCTTATGTTGTTTCACAACTTTCGTTTGGTGACATCTGGGCTGTTTCTGAGACCCACCTGAGTAGCAATGCTTTGCAAGCCTTTAAAACTAGCATGAGGTTTGCTCAGAGCCAGTTCCAGCACTGTGTTGGTGGTTGCCCAGTACCATCACAACAAGACCGTGTGTATCACTCTGCTTGGCGTGGGGTTGCAGTCCTCTCCAAATTCCCTACAAGAGAGGTGCCGACCATCATTCCACCTGAACTTTTGAGCTCTTCTAGGGTTGTTGTTACCACTTCACTGGTACATGATGTTTGGATCACTGGAGGCACTATTTACGGTGAGCCAGAAAGCAGCTCATATCCGCATCAGAAAGCCAACAATGAGGCCTTGCTTCACCATGCTGCTGCACATGTTTGCCATTTAGCTAAAGGACCTAGGTTTTTGGCTGGTGACTGGAACCAAGTGCAATACGCCTCTCCTTCATTTGAGCTGATTGAGGCTGCTGGTTTTCGTGACTTGCAGGATATTGCCCTGGAGTTATGGGGCCGCCCAGTTGAGAACACTTGCAAAAATGCATCCCGCAAGGATTTCTGCTACATTTCTCGGGAACTTCAGCACTTGCTGAGGAAAGTTGGCATGTCACATGATGTTTTCCCGGATCATGCCGTTCTTTGGGGCGAGTTTGATTCACTTGGGCAGTCCATACCGAGGCAGATTTGGTTTTCACCCGGTCCTTTTCCATGGCCTGCAGTCTGGGAAGTGGACGAGCTTTTCTGGCGCTCTCATGCTGAGGATCCAGACACTAGGTACCATATGCTTTGGCAACATATTGAGTCTCAAGCTTGTAAGGCTTTGCCATTTCCTGCCCCCAGAAGTGCTCAGGGGAGGGCGGCAACTAAGGATGTTCGGCCAGTGGTAGACGGGAAGGTTGCCCCCCCAAAGAAGGCGCGCCAGGGTGACATTAAGCCACAGTACGTTTGTGCCACGTTCCGCCACTCGCAGTGGTTGCGACAAACCCGTAGGCTCCAGGCTTATGTCCGACATGTCTCTAGACAAGGGGTCCACTCCGACCATGCTAGAAAGCTGTGGGGTTCCATCTTGCGAGCCACTGGATTTACCCCGTCATTTGCGGGGTGGTGGGAGCAGAACCATGCCAAGGTTTTTGGAGCACCTGAGAGGCTCCCCTTTGTACCCCCAACCCTTGACATTGCTGAAAGGGTATTTGACTCCTTTGCAATTGCATTTCGCAAGTTTGAGCAAGAGCTTCATGGTGCCTCCCGGAATTATGCCAGGCAGAAGCGGGATATGAACCCGAATGCTATTTTCCATGACCTGCAAGCCCCTAGGGAAAATGGAGTTGCTCTCTTGATCAAACCCATTGTTGCCAAGGTTGAAAGTGTCAATAGCGCTCATGGAGAGATTGTTTTAGACCGTGAAGTCTGTTTTGACTTGGCACACCCTGTTTTTTGCAATGGGAAAATGCTTGATGTCGCTCATGCCGACACTGATGCTGTTTGGGCCGCCAATGTTGAGGATGTACCTGTTGGTGCCACTGTCTCACAGACCAGCTGTCGTGGCACTGATGCTGAACTGTTTGCACTCTTCCTGACTGCTTGGAAACAAATGTGGGAACGCCACCACAGCATTCCTAGCTCCAGGTGGGAACCAATCTTACAGTTTGCCCGTGCGAAACTGGTTTTTCCACTGCTCAGGTGGCCGGCCATTGATTCTGAAGCCTTGGTGCATAGCATTGCTCATAAAAAGGTTTCCACATCAGGTGGGCTGGATGGTGTGACGCTGGTTGACCTCAAATCCATGCCGTCCCAAGCTTGTAGCAACTTTGTGGATATGTTTCACCACGCAGAGCTCACAGGTGAATGGCCAATCCAGGTTATTGCGGGCAGGGTGTCATGCTTAGCCAAAACTGCCCAGCCAACTGATGCCCTGGACTTTCGGCCGATCACAGTTCTGGGATTGCTTTACCGTTGTTGGAGCACCTTCCATGCCAAGCATGCCATCCGTGCCATAGAGGGTATTTTGCCTACTGGATTGTATGGAAGTAGGGCCCACAGACATGCAGGTCAAGTCTGGTCTCACTTGCTTTGGACCATTGAATTGGCGTATGAAAACCAGACTCCGTTGTGCGGCATTATGGCAGACATCCAGAAGGCCTTCAACTTTCTGTCGAGACCAGTTGTGATGGAGTGTTGTGCCTTGATTGGAATCCCGTTTCACGTTCTTCGGGGATGGGCGGGAGCCTTGTCACGTATGCCACGACGTTTCCAAATTCATGGCAGTTTGAGTCCGCCCGCATATAGCAATTGTGGCCTGCCGGAGGGATGTGCACTTTCCTGTTTGGGTATGATGGTCGTCGACATTGTTTTCCACGAGTATATGTTGCACTTCTTTCCTTTATGTCAGCCACTTTCTTACGTGGATGACTGGCAGGTGTTAGTCATGGACCCAAGCATGCTCCAACCAGTTTTTCGGTGCCTCGAGGAGTTCACTGCCTTGTTAGACCTTTTTCTTGTCCGCAGGACAACCCATACATGGTCAATCAGTGCAGAAGGCCGTGCCCAACTGCGGTCACAAGGCTTTGGCCTTGTCGGTTTTAGCAAGAATTTGGGCGCCCACGTACAGTACACAAGACAGCATACGAATAAGGTCCTGATGGACAGGGTCACTGGTGCGCAAGGCTTGTGGACTAAGTTACGATACTCAGCCAGCCCTTACGCCCAGAAAGTTCGTGCTCTCAAGTGTGCAGCTTGGCCTCGTTGTCTGCACGCTGTGGCCGCCACTACAGTGAGCAAGGTCACTTTTGCAGCCCTTCGTTCCGGGGCAATGCGAGGCCTCAAAGCAGATGTGGCTGGTGCCAACCCAATGGTCCATTTAGGACTTGTTGAGCCACCTAGCACAGACCCTCAGTTTTGGAGTATCATGCAATCCTTTCGTTTGGCCAGGGAGTGTGGTAATGCCCCCCGTATTGAGAGTGTTCTGGCTTCTTTGGTTGATAACCCTGATGCCTTGCCTTCCAATAGTATCACCCAAACGTTACTTGTGAGGATCCAGACTCTTGGTTGGCATGTCGATAAGTCTGGTCGGCTCCACGATGGGTATGGAACATTCTCTTTGTTTCAAATTTCAGCAGCCGAACTGCAGTGCCGTGCTGAACAGCAATGGTTGCATGTGGTGGCCGCAGCTACTTCACATCGGCCTTACCTTGTTTCAGTGGTTTGGAATTTGTGGACTCGGCCGACACCCGCCGATGGGTTGGGAAACTTGAGGCCTCTGACAGGGCTCTGTTTCACAAAATCCTCAACGGTACGCATTTCACCCAGGACGGCAAACATTATTGCCAGGAGACAGACAGCGACGTTTGCCCGTTTTGTGACTGCACGGATGGGAGGTTTCACAGATTCTGGATATGCTCACAGTTTGACCACCATCGGCAGCACCTCCAGCCGTATGTATTGTCTGCTGTGCGCGACCTCCCTGAGGTCTTGACTTGTTCAGGCTGGTCACTTGCTGCAACTACGCAGCATCAGTGGGATGAATACTTGGTGGCTTTGACACCTTCGCCAGTGCCCTGCTGGCGACTTGAGGGACCCATCAACATTTTCACTGATGGGAGCTGCTTTGGACAACACAGTGTGCAGACTAGGTTTGCAGGGTGGGCAGTGGTTTTTGCCGCGACTGAAGCGATCCATGACTGTACTGGCAGTCTTGTCCTGGATTCAGGTGTCCTGCCGGGGTACTTACAAAGTGCAGTCCGGGCAGAGATCTTTGCTGTCTTGCGAGCATTGTTGATCACCCAGGACCTTGAGTGCAAAGTCATGATATGGTGTGACTGTGACGCTGTCGTCAAACGCATGCGGAGGTTACTTGTGGGGCATGACCTGAAGATTGGCTGCTCTCATTCGGACCTTTGGACTCTTATTCAGAAGTGCATCAGGCGACGGCGGGGCCCCACAATGATTACAAGAGTTGCAGCTCACCAGGAGGAACATACGGCCAAAGATGTTTTCACCGAATGGTGCATCCGGCATAATGCCCTGGCTGACCGGCAAGCTGTTCGAGCAAATGGAACGAGGCCCGCGTCATTCTGGAGTCTGTTTCACTCGCATTTGTCTGCATTGGATAACATCACTGGTATCAATAGGGCCATCCAACAAGTGCAACTTGATATTAGCAGGGAAGTTGTCCGCTTGGGTGAGCCGGCCAAATTGGATGTTGCCCCGCTTGACCTTGAACTGCCCCCTCCTAGCAAAGCTTGGTGCCCGTTGCCTGCTCTTCAGATCCCAGCACAGGCTGTCCGTTGGTATGGAGACGTGATGGTTCGTTGGATCGTGAGTTGGTTTTGGCAGGCAGTTGCAGAGAGTGACTTGGAGCCAGTCTGGGTGTCCCATTACCAATTGTACATTGATTACATGTGCAGTACAGGCCATCCAGGACCTGTGCATATCAATGGATGGATTGATGGCGCACGCCTTTCACATTTGCATTTGCGCGGACTTGCCTTCCGCACCAGGGCCAGATGGTTTGTGAAGGTTTGGAAAGAGACCCTGAGACATCAGGGCATTGTTTTGGAGAGCGCTTTTGGCCGACCACATTCTCAGGTCATTTTGCTGCACACTGGATGCGTTTCACTGCCTTGGCCACGTGACCGCCTTCAAAGTGTGGATAGGTGGATGTTTGCCCGCAGCCAATCTGCCTTTAAGCGCCAATCCACTGCACTCGACAGCCTTCCTTTCGCTGATGCCCATTCAGAGTTTCCACCTTGCTACCGGACCACCGTTGGCACATGAGCACCCAAGACGGGTAGCATTCGGATCTAATGCTACGCGCAACAGAAAGAGTGAAAGAGTGAAAGAGTGGTGGTTTGGAACATGTTTTTTCCCATATCTTGGGAATGTCATCATCTCAACTGACTTTCACTCCATCATTTTCAGAGGGGTAGGGCTCAACCACCAACCAGTAAATACTTTAGTACTTTAATCTGCTATCGCCAGCTAAAAAATGAAGAGATAGCGAACGTATCTAAGACTCACCGTGAACACTTTGTTGGTAATGTTTGGGCAAATATACCAATAAACTATTCGTAGTCGTGGATTGAATATGTAACGGTGACTAACGGGTATATGATAAGTTTTATTTATATTATATAACAGTTAGTCACCGTTAAATAACCGTTAGTCAGTTAGTCACCAATAAATATTCAATGGCATATATTTTAACGGTTCTATTTCCCCAGATAGCTGGCAAGCTATAGGGGTTCTTACTTCTCAAAGGTGGGGTCTTCGGTGGCGAACTTTTGGCCAAGGTGCTGTGCAGGGGGCTGTGCAGGGTGCTGTGCAGGGTGCTGTGCAGGGTGCTGTCCAGACTGCGGTGGCAGGGTGTTGTGCAGGGTGCTGTGCAGGGTGCTGTACAGATTGCGGTGGCGAAGTCTGGCAAGGTGCTGTGCAGGGTGCTGTGCAGGGTGCTGTACAGATTGCGGTGGCGAAGTCTGGCAAAGGTGCTGTGCAGGGTGCTGTGCAGGGTGCTGTGGAGGGTGCTGTGCAGGGTGCTGTGCAAGGTGTTGTCCAGACTGCGGTGGCGAAGTCTGGCAAAGGTGCTGTGCAGGGTGCTCTGCAGGGTGCTGTCCAGACTGCGGTGGCGAAGTCTGGCAAAGGTGCTGTGTACAGGGTGCTGTGCAGGGTAGACTGCGGTGGCGAAGTCTGGCAAAGGTGCTGTGCAGCAGGTGCTGTGCGGCAAGGTGCAAGGTGCTGTGCAGGGTGCTGTGCAGGGTGCTGTGCAGGGTGCTGTGGAGGGTGCTGTGCAGGGTGCTGTGCAGGGTGCTGTGCAAGGGGGCTGTGCAGGGTGCTGTGCAGGGTGCTGGGGTGCTGTGCAGGGTGTTGTCCAGACTGCGGTGGCGAAGTCTGGCAAAGGTGCTGTGCAGGGGGGCTGTGCAGGGTGCTGTGCAGGGTGCTGTCCAGACTGCGGTGGCGAAGTCTGGCGAAGTCTGGCGAAGGTGCTGTGCAGGGTGCTGTGCAGGGTGTTGTCCAGAGTGCGGTGGCCAAGTCTGGCAAAGGTGCTGTGCAGGGTGCTGTGCAGCTGTGCAGGCTGTTGTCCAGACTGCGGTGGCGAAGTCTGGCAAAGCTGCTGTGCTGCTGTGCAGGGTGCTCTGCAGGGTGTTGTCCAGAGTGCGGTGGCGAAGTCTGGCAAAGGTGCTGTGCAGGGTGCTGTACTAGTGCGGTGGCAAGTCTGGCAAAGGTGCTGTGCAGGGTGCTGTCCAGACTGCGGTGGCGAAGTGTGGCAAAAGGTGCTGTGCAGGGTGCTGTGCAGGGTGCTGTGCAGGGTGCTGTGCAAGGGGGCTGTGCAGGGTGCTGTGCAGGGTGCTGTCCAGACTGCGTGGCGAAGTCTGGCAAAGTGCTGTGCAGGGTGCTGTGCAGGGTGCTGTGCAGGGTGCTGTGCAGGGTGCTGTGCAGGGTGCTGTCCAGACTGCGGTGGCGAAGTCTGGCAAAGGTGCTGTGCAGGGTGCTGTGCACAGTGCTATCCAGACTGCGGTGGCGAAGTCTCGCAAAGGTGCTGTGCAGGGTGCTGTGAAGGGTGCTGTGAGAGGTGCTGTGCAGGGTGCTGTGCAGGGTGCTGTGCAGGGTGCTGTGCAGGGTGCTGTGCAGCGTGCTGCGCTTTGGTTCCCACGTTGGCAACCATCAGTTCCAACCTTTAGGAAACGGAAGTTCTTTGCAATGGTAACCTATGGTTCCCAGGTTGGGAAGCATGAATTCCAACCTCTGGTAACCGGCAGTTGCTTGCAATGGTAACCTCTGGTTGCCAGGTTGGGAACCATGACTTCTAACCTGTGGGAACCGGCAGTTCCTTGCAATGGTAACCTTTGGTTCCCACGTTGGCAACCGTGAGTTTCAACCTTTGGGAACTGGCAGTTCCTTGCCATGAACCAAACGCAAACATTCCGGTACCGGTCCATTAAGCAAAACAAAGCGTTCTGTACCGGTCCATTAAGCAAAACCATAAAATTGTAAAGAAACTGTTTTCATATCATTTTAACATGCACCTTTTTGGTGCAAAAACATTTTTATGCCGGCCCAACAGCCAAACGCAAACATTCCGCTACCGGTCCATTAAGCAAAACAAAAGGTTCTGTTACCGGCTCAGTAAACAAAACAAAACAACATTAAGAACCATGAGTTTTAACTTTTTGGAATCAACAGATCCTTCCACTGGTAACGTATGCTTTTTCAGGTTTGGAACCATGAGTTTCAAGCTTTCACAACCGGCAATTCCTTACAATGATAGTTGCTTAGCTTCGAAAACATAAATTCTAACTTCTGGGAACCGGCAATTCCTTGCAATGGTAACCTCTGGTTCCCAGGTTGGGAACCGTAAGTTCCAAGGTCTGGGAACCGGCAGTTCCTTGCCATGGTAACCTTTGGTTCCCACGTTGGGAACCATCAGTTCCAACCTTTAGGAATTGGAAGTTCTTTGCAATGGTAACCTATGGTTCCCAGGTTGGGAAGCATGAGTTCCAACCTCTGGTAACCGGCAGTTCCTTGCAATGGTAACCTGTGGTTCCCACGTTGGCAACCGTGAGTTCCAACCTTTGGAAACCGGCAGTTCCTGGCCATGAACCAAACGCAAACATTCCGGTACCGGTCCATTAAGCAAAACAAAGCGTTCTGTACCGGTCCATTAAGCAAAACCATAAAGTTGTAAAGCAACTGTTTTCATATCATTTTGACATGCACCTTTTTCGTGCAAATACATTTTTATTCCGGCCCAACAGCCAAATGCAAACATTCCGCTACCGGTCCATTAAGCAAAACAAAAGGTTCTGTTGCCGGCTCAGTAAACAAAACAACATTAATAACCATGAGTTCTAACTTTTTGCAATCAACAGATCTTTCCACTGGTAACGTTACTTTTTCAGGCTTGGAACCATGAGTTTCAAGCTTTGGGAACCTGCAGTTCCGTACAATGAAAGCCGCTTAGCTTCGAAAGCATAAATTCTAACTTCTGGGAGCCGGCAATTCCTTGCAATGGTAACCTCTGGTTCCCAGGTTGGGAACCGTAAGTTTCAAGGTCTGGGAACCGGCAGTTCCTTGCCATGGTAACCTTTGGTTCCCACATTGGGAACCATCAGTTCCAACCTTTAGGAACTGGAAGTTCTTTGCAATGGTAACCTGTGGTTCCCAGGTGGGAACCGGCAGTTGCTTGCAATGGTAACCTCTGGTTCCCAGGTTGGGAACCAGGAGTTCCAACCTCTGGGAACCGGCAGTTCCTTGCAATGGTAACCTGTGGTTCCCACGTTGGCAACAGTGAGTTCCAACCTTTGGGAACCGGCAGTTCCTTGCCATGAACCAAACGCTAACATCCCGGTACCGGTCCATTTAGCAAAACAAAGCGTTCTTTACCGGTCCAATAAGCAAAACCAAAAAGTTGTAAAGAAACTGTTTTCATATCATTTTAACATGCACCTTTTTCGTGCAAAAACATTTTTATGCCGGCCCAGCAGCCGAACGCAAACATTCGCTACCGGTCCATTAAGCAAAACAAAAGGTTCTGTTACCGGCCCAGTAAACAAAACAAAACAACATTAAGAACCATGAGTTTTAACTTTTTGGAATCAAGAGATCCTTCCACTGGTAACGTATGCTTTTTCAGGTTTCGATCCATGAGTTTCAAGCTTTCGCAACCGGCAATTCCTTACAATGATAGTTACTTAGCTTCGAAAACATAAATTCTAACTTCTGGGAACCGGCAATTCCTTGCAATGGTAACCTCTGGTTCCCAGGTTGGGAACCGTAAGTTTCAAGGTCTGGGAACCGGCAGTTCCTTGCCATGGTAACCTTTGGTTCCCACGTTGGGAACCATCAGTTCCAACCTTTAGGAACCGGAAGTTCTTTGCAATGGTAACCTATGGTTCCCAGGTTGGGAAGCATGAATTCCAACCTCTGGTAACCGGCAGTTGCTTGCAATGGTAACCCATGGTTCCCAGGTTGGGAAGCATGAGTTCCAACCTCTGGTAACCGGCAGTTGCTTGCAATGGTAACCCATGGTTCCCAGGTTGGGAACCAGGAGTTCCAACCTTTGGGAACCGGCAGTTCCTTGCCATGAACCAAACGCAAACATTCCGGTACCGGTCCATTAAGCAAAACAAAGCGTTCTGTACCGGTCCATTAAGCAAAACCATTTTTCGTGCAAAAACTTTTATGCCGGCCCAACAGCCAAACGCAAACATTCCGCTACCGGTCCATTAAGCAAAACAAAAGGTTCTGTTACCGGCTCAGTAAACAAAACAAAACAACATTAAGAACCATGAGTTCTAACTTTTTGGAATCAACAGATCCTTCCACTGGTAACGTATGCTTTTTCAGGTTTGGAACCATGAGTTTCAAGCTTTCGCAACCGGCAATTCCTTACAATGATAGTTGCTTAGTTTCGAAAACATAAATTCTAACTTCTGGGAACCGGCAATTCCTTGCAATGGTAACCTCTGGTTCCCAGGTTGGGAACCGCAAGTTTCAAGGTCTGGGAACCGGCAGTTCCTTGCCATGGTAACCTTGGTTCCCACGTTGGGAACTGAACCATCAGTTCCAACCTTTTCTATCTGGGGTCTATGCCGGTGTAATTTATTGTATATTGTATGTTTAAAACACAGCAGTAGCATTCTGGGATTTCATGGCATAGTGCAAGGCTTGGAGATGGTTGGTTATGTTATAGGATGAGTTATGACCCCTTTCTGGCATCGAATCCGCTTGCAGAATGGCAACGTGTCTCCAGGTTGCACAGTTGGGCCCCCGGTCGATAG